ATCAGAGGTCTTAATCATGTAAACATTTATACAATTTTGACTCCAAAGAAAGAACTACATGACTCAAGTGCAAACACATTTCAGAGCTGACATTTTTTCAAATTAAAAAAGTAGATTTTTTTTTTAAGCCAGAACGCTTAATATGAACATCGAGAGACTGCATTGGCAGTTTTGTACAAGTACCACTTACGACCAACACAATACAAGCTAACATTGCAATGTCCCTCTTTCCTTACTGAGAGGATTTAACACTACAAATAATATACGATTCAAATCTCAAAATTACCAGTCAACCAATTACAGTCATACACAAGCTTAAGAAAATTTGTCATCAAATTGGCCTGCTTTCCAAATGCTCATGAAATCCCACTTCATGAAAAAGTTGGCCTGTTTTAGATTTTCTTCTGTTGTAGGGTAGAATGAATAATGAAATATGGAAATGTATCAGTTAAATTTAATACCATTTCGATTTTTAACGCTACAAGCGACTGCAAGATACAAAATAATCGGGCACGTGCATCACATGGAAACAGAAGAATGGATTTTTTTTTAAGAAGAGACAGTCATAGTCTGGTCTTAAACAGGGGCAGGGAGTTGACAGCACGGATGACTGGTGGAAGGGAGTACCAGACTTCATAGATCTATGATAAGCGCAGTTGGCTACGTACTGTGCGAAAGAAGTTCAACATACATGCAGACATAATACAGGTTTTTGTTGGGTTAGATCGCGTAAACATGTGTCGTTAAAACCCGCCACCACCCGACAGTCAACTAGTAAGAGTTGTCACGTAAATAGAACGTGCCAATTCGTCACTAGTAAAGCACACCGGTGTTTTGGAGAGCCAAGCCACAACATTTATAATCTGAGTACGACGTTTCGCCAATAATTACAACTAGCTTCATCAGGCGACATCGAGATTTGTGGAGAAGTCTTAACTGTTTCGTTCCTTATATAGAGGCGTAGATGTGGTGACCACACTTCTGGTCACCAGAAGTGTGGTCACCACATTTTACGTGTTAAATACATACATCTACAATAAAAGCACTATAGGCCCATGCACTCACTTCACTTCAAGGTTAATACTGTGTAGAGTTTCATATAAAATATCAGTTGTCCAGGTTCCACTTAACCAGCTCAGTGTATATCACACAGTTTGACCAATTCTGGTGTATAAAGTCTAGCGAGTCTGGGGATCATAATAGGATCAACACAAAGGATGGATGGGGCAAGTGGCTGCGCATTGGGTCGCTACACAATCCTAACCCCTAACCTTACACTGCACTCCATTTTACACTTAGCACTGCACGGTGTACGTATACACTGCTGAAATGAAGCTGTCTGAGCTGAATGCGCAACGGGAGACGATGGCACATCTGTGTTAGAAGAGAAGTGTAAAATGATTCCATAGGGCCGACCCTTCATTCTGAAATAAACTCGCTGTGGAGGCTTTGTTGTGACGATAATTGAATCGCCGTCATCGTCACGCCGCCAGCCAGCGGTGTAGCCGAGTGAGGGCGATGGGACCACGCCGAGCGATCGGCTCTGTGTAGCCAGTAGAGACGTTAATATCGAGTGTTGTACTCAGTGGGAGGAAGAATAAGTGTTGGCCTGTGTTGTGCCCAGTGTGAGTAATAAAATAAGAAGTACCCTCTGCACGACGTGTCGCGGAAGTCTGCACTGCATGCGGTGAGTTTTGTAATCCACCTATGTCTATTGGAGTATTGTGTAAGTTAAATACTCTTAACCTAATATCGTGTTTGCAGTTTTGTTTGCATTTCATATTATTGGCATCTCATCCTGAGGACTTCCCAAATGTGAACTTCATGTTAAGGCCTTAATCTGAGCTTAGCACTAAACATTATTGAAGATGCCCCATTGCGTCCACCTACATGGAGGAGTGGCGATACAAGGAAACAAGAAACACAGGGCACTAACTCAAGCATCCTCTAACGTGCCTAAGGCACTATATCCACACCCTCAATGTAAAACTGCTCGGAGGCAGGCTTCGAAGGCGACGGTGTTGACTTTGCAGCTATTGGGGGATCTAGCAGAAGGCAGGAAGAGATGGCAAGATACAGTGGCGTCAAAATGTATTATTTTCCCAATCTGCTTGTCCTGGTGAGGGTCGCGGCGGCAGCATGTTGAGTATGGTGTTCCAGATCTCCCTTTCCCTGGCGACAGATTATAGCTCTTCCTGGGGAATTCCCAGGCGTTCCCAGTCCAGCCGAGAGACATAGTCCTGCCAGTGTGTCCTGGGCCGGCCCCGGCGTCTTCGCCCAGTGGGACGTGCCCAGCAGAGTTCCAAGAAGAGTCTACCGGGGGGGCATCCTTACCAGGTGCCCGAACCACCTCACCTGCCTCCTCTCGATTCGGAGGAGCAGCGGCTCGACTCTGAGGCTCTCCCAGATTACCGAGCTCTTCACCCGATCGCGGAGAGTGAGCCGGCAGCCTTGCGGAGAAACCTCATTTTGGCTCCTTGTACCCACGATCTCATCCTTTTGGTCATTACCCAAAGCTCATGACCATAGATGAGGGTGGGAACATAGATCGACCTGTAAACCGAGAGCTTTGTTCGAGAACTCAGCTCCCGTTTCACTACCACGGAATGGTACAACGCCCGCAACACTGCGAATGCCGCACAAATTCGCCGGCCGATCTCCCGTTCCCACTTACCATCACTCGTGAAAGAGACCCTGAGGTACTTAAACTCCTCCACTAAGGGCGGCTGTTCCCCCTCACCTGGAGAGAACAATCCACCGTCTTCTGGGAGTGAACCGTGACTTCACATTTGAAGGTGCTGATCCTCATCCCAACCGCTTCATATTCGGCATCAAACTGTTCAACTGCACGCTGAATATAACAGACTAACGAGGCAAAGAGGACAACGTTATTTGCAAAAATCAGCGAAGCCACCTCCATGCCCCCGTACTGGATACTCTCCATCCCTCAGCTGCGCCGTGATATCCTGTCTATGAAAATCACAAACATGAGTGAGGACAAGACGCATCCTTGGCGGAGTCTAAATCCCACAGTGAACGACTTTAATGTAACACCAGGAATATAGACACAGCTCTCACTCCGGGAATAGAGGGACCGTATAGTGCACAAAAAGCGGGACCGGTACATCATACTCCCACAGCACCTCCCACAAGACATTGCGGGGAACACGATCATATGCCCTCTCCAAGTTTAGAAAGCAGAGGTAGATTGGAGAAGCATACTTCCATGACCCCTCAAATATCTGTGAGAGGAAAAAGAGCTGGTCCATTGTTCCACGACCATGACGGAATCCGCATTGTTCCTCTCCAGCACTCTGGTATGCGCTTTACCTGGGACGCTGAGGAGTGTGTTCCCTCTGGAGTTGGAGCACACCCTCTGGTACCCTTTATTACAAACTAGCCTTTGCCCATCCAAGGACGGGTGTATTTCAGTAAATCTGAAACTTGCAAGCGAAAATCAGACCGCGACGTGATATTCATTGCATCAATTCGTGTGCAATTTGTAAGGCCGCGGTGACACAGACTTCATTCATTTCAAGGTTATAATCCATTTTTCATCATGAAATCCTTTTTACTTCTATGTCTCAACAGCGTTACGGAGATCACGTGACGTGAGGGTTCTGTAGTGAGAGTTGTCAGTTGACGCCGAGGAGGGGGGAGGAGGCGCCTCGCCCCTCCCCCATGTCGAGTGACGTCACTCGCTAATTATTATTAATGGTGAGGGTGGCCATTTGCAAGACGTCACTTCTTCATGATTATTAATGAGGGGGGCTGTGCTATGTGGAGTGACGTCACCTGCTCATCATTATTAACGGGGGGGGGGGGGGTGCTGCATGTGGAGTGACGTCACCCGCTCATGATTATTAATGAGGGGGGTTCCATGTGGAGGACGTCACCTGTCCATGATTATTAATGAGGGGGGCTGGCCGAAGTGGAGTGACGTCACGAGCGGGACACACAGACATTTTTGGCTCATTATAGAAGTAAATGGGAACCACGACCCCAGTTTGCCAATGCAGAGGTGCTGTACACTCCGACAATGTCCAGCGCGTTCAACAACTCTGGGTGAATGTCGTACATCCCAGCAGCTATTTACATTGACGCCACGACTTTAGCGTGGCGTCAATGTAAATAGCTTTAATGACCCCTTTAATTTGAGTGCCTTTTAATCCACTTCTGTAAACTGCTTCAGAGTGGGGGAGGGGGCACTGCTGTGTATTAGATGGACACGGGTCCCCAGACTCCCAATAGAATCGCCACTGGAAGTGAATGATTGTGGAATCCCTGGTGTAGGATAATCATCACCAGCCATGATCTACCCGCTGCTGGATGCTGCTCCACCAAGCCGCCGCCATCCATAACGGTGTAGGGCATTAGTAATTAACATGCAGTGTAGGTAATGATAGCGTTACTACTGTACCGCATGACACGGGGAATTGGGGGTGATCTGTGAAATCGTTTTCTCCCCATTGGCGCTTCAGTTAAAAATCCCAGCGTATAACACTTAGGCAAGAGATTACTGTGATGGTATGTTAATCTTTCTGTCAACATTATAATTTGTGGCGTATGTAAACACTTTTAAAAACAGAAAGCCAAGGGCATTTAAAATCCTGTATTTCCTTTTCAAGGCATTGGCCAGTTTACCCAATAAACCGTGAGGGTTAACCTTAATTCTAGGCCTAATGCTAACCCATGTTATTTCATTGTGTCATGAGTAATTGTGCCAATTGAACGCCCAATATTTGATGCATTTTGAAAGCGTTTTTTTGTAAGTCAATTACTACTGTACAAGCTTTAAAGTGCAAAAATATCTCCATAACTGGAATTTGTCACATCCCAAGCAGGACCCTTAGTAGAGTATTGAGGGTCAGTGAATCTCTGATGAATGGTTAAAGATAAGGAATTGTGTAACATGGCAACGTTATTTTTGGTACGGCATGGGTATTTGACATGTTTGTGGCACAGTAGGGTTATTTGCGGTAAACGTCAACACTTTTCAGCCCTTTATTAAACGACTACTGGACAAAAAAAATCACTCCTTGGGGGTCGTTTGACTATGCTTCACCACTCTGGTGAATTGGGATTGGTGACATAGGGATAGGTTCAGAGATCACTGGCCAATGATGTTACCAGTGGCAGGGAATCAAACTCAGGTGGCGGGGTGCATCGCGCAGTGCGCTTAACCACCTCAAGGTTATTGTGTCACGATGCGTGCGTTGGTGCTGCTATTATTAATACGGGCCTCCATCACCACCCTCATCACCATCACCACCGTCACCATGGCAACAGTAACCCCAGCGGGCCGCGCTGCGCGTGCGTGATTCCCACACATTCAATTCCCTAGTTCGGATAAGCATCACCCGCTCCGCACGGAGTCTGCGCGGCGGAGCCTGGCGCTGAACGCGATTGGTCGGACAAGCAAGACGGACGGGAGTCCGCCACCAATGAGGGAGCCGCTGTTGCGCATAGGCGCTGGGAAATATAAAGCGGCGCTTGGAGGCGTCCAGGTCCTGAATGCGGCCCCGGGGGGTCACCGGGTCACGGGGCTCGCCGCGGGCCACGGAGTGCGGCGTTTGCTGGACCGACCCCGCTCGCTCATCGTTACCACCGTTAACAGCAGCAACAGTGGTAATGCTGGCCATTGTAACGCGTGTCGTGACATTTCAATCAACGTCATGCCGTGGCTTTGGACGGGGAAGGGATTTGTCGCGTTGATGTGCGCGTGATTTGTGTACGCGGATGCTAGGAGATGCGTTGGTAAATCTGTTATGCTTGCGTGTACGCGAACGTGTGTGTGTGATTGTCTTTGTGTATTCGTTATGCTTTGTCTTAAACGTATGTTTTAATCTATTGTATGTGGATATGTGTGCACGCATGTGGTGTATATATGTATATTTGCGTGCACTGCATGGTTATATGTATGCGTCTTTTGCGTGCCCGTTTACATGTATGTGCGTGCATTTTTGTATATATGAAGAGTGGTGGTGTGGTGGTTACCTGGCTGCGCTATGAGCCCGTCGACCCGAGTTCGATAATTAATTATGTATGCAACGAATATCTGAACCGCTCCAGGACCTCCCCCTATGTCGACTCAGCCCTAAATGAGTAAGCACCCGGTGCGACGTGCAAACATCGCCGCTCGGGAGACAGCCGGCCTCATAGGTGCTCGCTAGCAGCACTTTCCCCAACAGCAAGTTAATGGATATTTAAATAATTGTCAGTTAAGGGGGAGTATCCCTTTATTTGTGTATGCAACCAGCCATTCGATTTGAGAGACCGATTTTTAAATGGAGTCGATCCCATTTCATAATTATTCCAAACCCTGACTCGAATAAACGAAGCCCGTTTCTAGAAAACAAAGATGCCACAGTAATTTGAAATCCGGTGGATTTTCTCGGTGAAAATGTTTAAATTACGTGCAGTACTCGTGTCAGTGAAATACTGTTCTATGAAAAGAAGCTATGCATTTGCTAATGATGATTGTACTTGCATTTGATTTGGATATTCATATTTCAAATAATTTTGAGTAGTATATACAATACTGTACTATAATGCGCAAAATGCCAAAATATAAAGCAAACTAAAATGCAGCAAAATAAAGTAATGCATTACGTGATGATATATAAAATTGCTTGTGGAGATTTCACACGATGATTAGTGCAGTGCACTATGAATCGAACAATGTGTGTTTGATTCCTGCCCACTGCTAACATCAGAAAAATGTATCTGAACCAGTCCTCGGCAACCCCCTTGGACCAACGCAGTATACAGAGGCCTTTATCCAGCAGTGGATTGACAAAGGGCTCTAAATTCTAACATTAATTTACACATTAACAAAGTAGTACAGCACTGCTTATGAGAATATTAAATATTGAAACACGTTATTGGTGACTTGAAGTTGCAGGTAACTTACGTGTTTTCTTTTTCCATTACAGCAACGATTCGACGTAATTTAAGTGGACAACCCTTAAACAGATAGTCTTACACTGATAACATTTAATATATTTTTTTATACAAACACATTTGCACTGGCGTCCACCCACAACGCAAGCATGTCTACAAAAGCTGAGCAATGTAAGTACACGATCATGTTCTGTATTCGTGTATTTGTATTCCATGCTTTACACACCTCATATATCAATGACATACTCTGTGCAGTAAAAGCAATACACTTCGTAATTCAAAGCTGATAACTTGACCATTGAATCTCAAACGCCTGCTTCGTTTTTAGTTGCATCAAAGATTCGTTACCTTCAAGAGTACCACAACCGAGTGACTCACAATATCTACCCTGTACCCACGGGAACAGACATAGCAAATACTCTAAAGTACTTCTCACAAACACTCTTAAGGTAGGTTCCATTTACTTACATTTTCATGATAACATAGATGACTGTAATTTGAGTTTTACCTGGCACGGAGTTATATTTTTCCTCCAGCAATGATTAGCACGCATTGATGTATTCACTAAATATAAATATTAATATTGCTTCAACTATTTAAATGGCCATTTTATTAATTCGTCAAAAGTGTGAATGTGTATTTGTTTGCTTGCATAGTTTAATTTATAATATTACTTATTTCCCATTGTTAATTGTTGTAAAATGTTAACACCTAAATATATATGGTATTGACAGACTTAATGGCCATTAAAATGTGTTATGAAACTGATGTTTTTGATGCAATGTGTTGTAAAGATGCACATAATGAACCACTTCTAAAGACATCATGCCATTTCCAATACTAATAAACCTAAACCCATACGAATGAGCGAATGCCTCTGCAATGTAACAATCTTTCCCTGCATGCAACATGCATACAAACTACTATACCAAGTGTGCAAACAAATTTTATTTTCTTTAAAATAAACATGTGGTTTCGGGACCATTTTTTTGAAACACATGTTTATTTAAATAAATATGGAAATGCTTGCTGCAGTACAATGTGCTACTGAATGAAAGCCTATTATTAGTCACATATTTCATTGAGAAAATTGATCCAAAAAATTGTAATCAATAAAACAGAAAAATCTGTTCTATATATACATTAAGTATATATTGAAAATATTTGTAAAGAAATAATGTGACTGAAGTAGTCTTGGCAAGCTTTCCACAGTCATGCCACCAAGTGTCGTGTCATTTTAATGTTCTGTTTTATGTTGTTGTCCCGTCCCTCCCTCCCTGCCTCCCTCCCCTGTGTTACCCCCACAGCATTTTGGTTCACACGGGCACGGAGGGCGTGCGGGCTGCTCCCGCGCCTAGTCCCAGCCTTACGCTGCCCGTGCCCCTGTGCCTCTTTCCCATGCCATTTCCCACCACCCCACCCTCTGCCACCTCCCCTTCCTCCCCACTCCCTCCCACCCGCCCGAAACACCCGTCCGTGACTGAGTCCCTCCTTTGCAGCGTTCTGCGCGACGTCGCTTTCGACTGCGCCCAGCAGAGCCGTGATGCGCGGCTGGCCGAGTACCCCTCCCTTGACTACCAGGGGCTCTATGCCACCCTAGTCAGCCTCATTGATCTGGTGCCTATGCTGCAGCATGGTCAGTATGGTAGGTAATAGGTCACACAATTGCATTGATGCATGAACATTTAATTCAATATTTTACGACTAATTGCACGATCACATTGTGAGCAGGCCAATTTATGATCAGTATATTTTAAGGCAGAAAAGCTAATATACTTTTTTTGTTCATCAATTCCTCTATGACGTTTGTAAACAAACGTGAAATATATAATTTTAATTACAGTTAATATTTGATTATATGTTGAGCATTTGTTAACATATATAATCAATATTGCACTGCAGTTTCATTTGCAAAAAACGAGCACAAAACACGTTTGCATTTCAATTCACGTTTTCATAAAATACTTTGCTGCGATGGTGTTTTTAGACAACTGAATGCTATTGTTTTTGCTTTCAGATCTTGGCCAGTCCATATTTTACACGATGGCTTGCCTGGTTCCCTTTCTAAATGACGACACGCTGAGTACTCTGCCCTACACCATGGTTTCCACGTTGGCTACGTTCCCTGCTTTTCTGCACAAGGACATCCTGGACTTCATCAGCTCCACGTTCCTCCCTATGGCCATGCGTAAGAAAACATATTTCGTACACATACAAGCCCATTTGCCAATACACTCTTGCATGAGAGCCCACCCCCGTATTTGATCATACTTCACCACGCTGGTCTGTACGGGTTGGGTACAGTATATGGATTTTCTGTATTGCTCTCTGCTGCGCACAATGTACATGGTGGTCACTTATCCAGGCACTATTCATACATTTAAATAAAACGTACATGTGACTAGACAGGCTGAAAGTCTGCTTGGCTTTTGAGGTCTGATGGGATTAGGAGCATTCCATTCGAGATGTTCAATTAAAGTGTTTTTTTCTGAATTCTCAGTCTACCTAATGTATTTCTTGTTGGGCAAATGTGGTTTAATCGAATACATTGTAGTCTTAATACAATCTACAACTAAATGGATGATAAAGGTAATTATCTAAAGAGATTCTGTCATGTTTTTTATGAATTTTACAGATGGTGTCTAATATGGTGTTTTTGCAAAATATACCACTCTCCTTATATTAATGTAACACTTGTGGCTGTGTGTGTGGTTTTGTTGCAGTGGGACCTTTCAAGAGGGAGGGCATTCCTGCTTACGTGAATGTGTCTGCTTCCTCCATGCTAATGATAGCAATGCAGTACACAAGCAATCCAGGTAAGTAATCGAACAATGACCTTAAATTCTCCACCGTCATCATCAGCCATGGGCCAATTCACTGCTCGATGAAGGCCTCCTCACGCCGTCACCAGCACTCATGGTTCTGCAATATAATAAATAATCAACTTAGCACCTGCACACGAGCTGATTTCATTGTTCAATTTATTTTGTGGATGTCCTATCTGCCAGTCTGTCCTTATTTCTGACTTTCAACCATCATCCCTTCTCATGGCATGTCCTGGCCAAGCCCACTTACGTGTGTAATGATTCAAATGATGTATGTAATCTGCAGATCTTCGCATATGTTTGTGTTCCTCTTTCTGTCAATGTAGTTTCAAGCATGCAGAGTAATTTTGAGGAACTGACCAACAACCTGAAATAATGATTTATTTGTTAGTTTGCAAGTGATACATGTGTAGCACCATAGATGGAATGGTACCTCGTACCGTCAGGGGAGGGGCTGCAGCACCAGCCCAAGAGGGGAGGGGCTGCTGAGAGTTCTAGGATCCCCAGACAGCTAAGCCCCTTGGCGCCCCCAACGGTGGGGGGGGGGGAGCTGTGGGGGTTCTAGGATCCCTCGCAGCCCCACCCCTCAATAGGCAAGGGGCATAAAAGGGGACCTCCCCAGCCGATCTGGGACCAGTTGAAGACCGAAGCTGAAGACCAGCTAGATAGGACCCTGGACCCCCTCGACCCGCTGTCCTTGTCAGGACCGGGACACTGTGCGGGCCAGTGGTGGGACTCTGGGCCAGTAGTGGGACTCTGGGACTCCTGGCCCCACGCCCTTTTGTGGGCGAGGTCCGAGGAAGCCAGAGTCTAGACCCACACCTTGGCTGGGTCGGGTCAGGGTAGCCTCCCCTAGGGTAGTTATAGTGGAGGACCCGAGAGCGTTGCCAGTGTCATGGCACGCTAGGAGTAGACTGTGTCCCTAAGCTGAACCAGTGTATGAGGACTGTTGGAGTGCTGTATTGTAATAAAGAAGTTACCTATCCGAATTGTCTCCGGAAACCCACTACACATGTAACTGCACATTGAAATGTTTTTTGTTTTGTTTCAGTCTATCACTGTCAACTGCTGGAATGCCTTATGAAGTATAAACAAGAAGTATGGAAGGTATATGCAATACTGTATAACACTCCATAATAGAGGTTTTTTTGGGGTTAGATGGCGTAAAGATATAAATGTGTCGTGAAAACCCCCACCACCCGATACAGCCAACGAGTAAGAGCGCAAAAGCGTGGTCACCACACCTATGCCTCTATATAAGGAACAAAACAGTTTGACTTCTCAACAAATCTGTTTGTCGCGTGATGAAGCTAGTTGTAATTACTGGCGAAACGTTGTACTCAGATTGTAAATTTTGTGGCTTGGCTCTCCAACACACCGGTGTGCTGTACTAGTGACGAAGTGGCACTTTCTGTTTATGTGACAACCCTTACTAGTTGGCTGTGTCGGGTGGTGGCGGGTTTTAACGACACATTTATATATTCAAAAAACCTCTTATGGATGATATTGGTCACGAAAGCCTACGTGTTAAAATGTATAACACTGATGTGGATTTGACTTTATATTTGTACAGAGAAACTGTGAATGATATGAGTGTAAAGAAATTGTATGGAATATTTCTAAGACTAATAGTGTACAAAATCCTGCACACATTAAATTAATAATTATTTATTATAATCATTGCAGCGGTCATATAAATGTGTTTGAGAAACTTTCTTTGTTTACATTTTACCAAAGTAACTCGCATTTATGAAGTTGAAATCATGTTTTTAGTCAATACTTATTCTCGGTTCAATTGCAGTTACATAATGTCCTAAATTATTGTTTTTTTTTCCCAACAGGACCTGCTGTATGTAATAGCGTATGGCCCAGCTCAAGTCAAACCACCTGCTGTGCAGATGCTTTTTCATTATTGGCCAAACTTGAAGCCACCTGGGGCCATCAGTGAGTACAGGGGGCTGCAGTACACAGGTATGCTTTTTCCAAGTGCTGTATGGTAATTGCCAACGATATATTCTGTTTCATTTTGGTTGATTTATTACACATGATTGTTACATTGGAATACATTTATTTTAAAAGTGTGTTACTTAAAGAAGCAGCTGCCAAAAGGGACATGGTTGCATTTGCAGGGCACACTTTTGCTGCGCTAGTCACAAACCCAATGTGTGTGCAATTTTGGAACGAGGAATATTTGTGCATTGGATGAAAATTGACAGCTGCACTAACAGACACAAGCTCTCGCAATGAAAATACTAAAATGCAGAGGCAAATAAATTAAGAGGCAACTAAACTTTTTTTCCCTATCTATTATGTGTCACTTCTCTAGCTTGGAACCCTATTCATTGCCAGCATACTGAATGTCACAATCCCATCAACAAACCTGCAGTTAAGGTAAGAAAATTCAATTTTTAAAGGTTTTGTTGTTGACAGAGTACTCAGCGACGTTTGTGTGTTGGTGCCATTCAATTTGTTGGCACCGTCATCCGTCTTCCGCCAGATGTGCATGGACCCCTCACTTGCTGTCACACGGGGGGACAAGCCCCCTCCGCTTTACCTGTGTGAAGACTGCTCCCAGAAGCTGCCCAGGTGACGCAATTGCACGTGTGTCTTTGAGCAGTTGGTGCACTCTTAGGGACCTTCGCCAGATTGAATTGCCTTGCTCTTTTTTTGTCAGAAAATACGTATTAAATGCACTCAGTAGGCTCACTCTTACTACAGAGCTCTTGAATTCTCACCTGGTTAAGCAAATTCAACTTGACGGTATCCTTCACCAAGATTGTTTCTACATTTGTGCATTATCAGTCAATTGTAGCTATTGCCATTTTGTTTCAGTAATTTTATTTTATCATCTATGCTAATTTAATTTCTTGTCACTATTTTGTAATTTGAATGCGACTTTAATATGAAGCAAATGTAATGCATCCATGTAATTTATGTTGGTTAACCTATTATGCAATGCTAAACAATGGTCATATTTGTTATATTCTTGGATTTTTATTCTAAGGTCTGCTGTCATATTTTTATATGGCGTTTTCTATGTTGTCTTTGTTTACACACTGGAAGTTGGTGTTTTGCTGAACTTATTTAAACCCAGGTGTCCCTTGAAAAGGAGATGTCTGGTCTCAATGACATCTTACCGAGTTACAAAAGAGGCCATCTGTCTAGAGCAGTATTTCTCAAACTGTTTTGTCCCGCGGTCCACTCAGCTGATTCAAACATTTCCGTGGACCACCCTGGTCCCCCACCCCTGGTGACAATATGCATTCACTTATTTCTGAATATCAGTAATACAAAGTGATTCATATTCATGGAACATCATGTTTTTTATGCAGCTGTAAGGTTTTTTTTGGGGAAGGGTGGGCATTTATAGCTTAGGTTTAGGGTACTTTAATCAGGGTAGTTTTTACCTAACTTCATTTTTTTTATTATTATAAGTTAAATTTGAATGTCCGAAACAAAAGGTATAAACATTGCTATTATTTCCGGATCAACCTGCATTTGCATCACAACCCGTGGACCATCTGGAGGACTGTCACAGACCCTGGGTGGTTCGGAGACCACACTTTCAGAACCACTGCGCTAGACTGAATGCCATTGTACAGTAGTGGCTGCAATGCTTTTACCAAATAAAACATAAGCATATAATAATGTCATCAACTGCAATGTAATTACAGTTACAGGCAGCTTAAAAAAATATATAGTACAATTTCTGTGGTTTTGAAACACAATTTCTATGTTTAGGGAGCAATCTGCATGGCTGTTTGACGTGTTGTTTCCTCAGGGTAAGTATTATATTTGGTTCTACAGTTACAAACAGTTAAACAAAACAGGAACACATTGCACAACTTATAAGCCATTGTTGCACTATATAACAAAAGCTTTATGAACAGAATGCTAAATCACAGTTAACTATCTAGCTATGTGACTTATTCAAATATAGGTTTTCTTACATTGAAACATGTTATGATTTAGGTATGTCCTAACCTGATATGATGTTCGCTAAGTCTTTATTTTCTGTATAAAAATGTTTCAGCTGAAATATCAGCTATTTGTCAGAAGAAGGTAAGATTTTTTTTGTTATAGATGTATGTTTGTAAGTGTTCCACAGTCTTTTTGATTTAAAGCTTTCGTGACTGCAGGGATTCATATTCTTGGTTCTTTCCCTTCTACGTGACTTTACCGAAAGAACCAAGAATATGTTCCACAGTCGTTCTGTATTTCATGTCATTTTCACGATGCTTTATTCTCATCTCATTAGCTACGCAATTAGTAAAGGAACGATTCTATTGACTCTTGCTTATATTCTACATTGATTCAAACAAAACATTTCACTTCATATTTCTCGAAACAAAAACCTTCGAACTTTGTAACCCATAAAATTTGAAATAGTATAAAGCAGGGGTGGGGAATCTTTTCTTTACTGAGGACCAAACAGGGCTTTCAAATACCTTTGGCGGCCCACATGTTAACACTTCCGAGATATCGGGGCTTGTTTATACTTTGTCGAACACACGTGAAGTTCACAATGCTGTGATCATGAAGGCTGTACCGTGCGATGTCAATGTACAACACACGGGGCAACCTATACAACCACAGAACAAGGAAATTAACATGCGTGGTGACCAAATATAAAGAAGCCCTTGTAGTGACAGAGGTGACTGAGCACGGTGATAAATTTGGAACACAATGTTGCCGGCACGAAAATATTTCCCTCCAATACCCAATCAGTGCAGCTAAGAGGCATCGATGGTGACATCTTAATTCCGTGTGCAAAATTAATAGGTCTTGTGACTGTGGGCCATGTGAAATTAATTTGTCGGCCATATTTCGATGTATTCTGTCACGTGGTTGTTTTTGCGCTAAGTATTAGTTTTTTTTGCTCCGATTTTTATTTGCTTCATTATTGTACTTGGTTTCATGTTGTTCATGCTGCCAATTTGGTGTGACCCAGGCCACTTGTAAACGACACTCATTGATATTCTTGGTTCTTTCGGGAAAGTCACGTAGAAGGTTATACGTTTCTATACCCCTGGATTGTAGTGTTTCTGTGGGCACCACTGTTGTGTGCAGAACATTTACACTTATTTTTTTGGAAACCTAATTAGTGTGTGTGTGCATGGTATCATTGCTTGTCTCTGTGTGTATTGTAGCGGTAGTGTAGCGGTTAGCGCACTGCGCTACGAACCCGGCGACCCGAGTTCGATTCCCGCTCACGGCCAACACCAGTGACGATTATCTGAACCAGTCCTGGGCCTCCCCTAGGTAGACTCAGCCTTAAATGAGTACTTGGTGTGATGTGTGAGCATCGCCACTAGGGAGACAAAGGCGGCCGGGCGTAGTGTTGGCCACTCACCCCCTAGTGTGCCGTGCCGGCCTTCATAGGTGCTCGCTAACAGCACTTGCCCCAACAGTCTGTTAAGGCTAGACGGATATTTTATTGTATCATTACTCGTGCCTCTAGTTATGTATAATAGCATTGCGTGTGTCTCTGTATTTGTGGCATCACTTCGCACGTCTCTGTGGGTATGTGTTTCTGTCTTGTATCACTGTGCGTGTCTCTGTGTACGCGGGGACCGTGCGGTCGCAGAACTGCAGCTCACACGTGAAGCGTGCGGTGGTGACGTGCTTCTCCGAGGGCTGCTGCAAGCGCTTCGGCAACAAGCCAGTGCGCTTCTGCCGGCGCTGCCACCACAGCCACCACAGCGGGGAGGGGGCGGCCGGCGGGGAGCCCCACCTCTACCAGACGTCACCACCGCCCATTAACACACGCGAGTGCGGCGCTGAGGAGCTTGTGTGCACCGTGGAGGCTGTCGTCAGGTACCCACGATGGCACTTGCTTGCGGAGAGAGGAAACTGGGGAGCAAGCGCGACAACTTGCTCAAGTGATGCTCGCTCTGCCGAAAGAATCGCCGCTGTTTAATTAGCGCACTTTCGTCCCTTAAAATACAGTGTGCATGGTAAGCCTGCACAATGTTATTACGTTTTTGAGCAATTGTTTAACTTTATGTGAAATGGAAAATGTGCAGCCCTGCATTTACTTGCCCTTATCACTGCTAGTCGTAGGACCTCGACAAGAGAGCCCCTCTAGAGGCTATCTTGGCCTGCTTTTTCACATTGGCCAGACATCTTTGATGGTGGAGATTTCAAGAAACTCCCAAATTATTTACACTACTGTGCTGGGAAATTGAACCAGTGACTTCTCGATTGCAAGTCTGTGCACTGACCATTACACCACGGCAGCATCCCCTCTTCTGTCTTGTATTTGAGGTTCAGATTTTTCACCATGAATATTATATTTCTATACAAAATACACAGGACTGAATTACATGCACAAATTGACCTGCATTACAAGAGATAACATTTTGGGCATGTGCCCTTGTTCAGAGCAGAGAGAGCAGAATGATCCATCATCGTCATTTATTATTTACTCTACTAAGCCTCCAATACACCATCTGGAGGCGACATTGTATTTTTAGACAAAATACAGAAATTTAAAACAATATGGTATAGACATCCACAAATAAGAATACATAAAATGTAAATGCGATGGAAAACGATGGAAACTTTCCAGATAACATTTTGTTCTTGATATTTCCAAACACGTTTTGATTTCTCCTAAGTAGGTTTACGCGTTTGTACTGCATAGCTCTCCGATGTGTTTTGAGGTTGTACCCCAAATCACAAGGGAGAGCCTTGTTTTGAATTTGCGCCGCATATTGCATCGTTGCGTCGATGACAGTTGCGCCACTCACTTGATGCTCTAGCCTGCTGAAGGAGGTGGAGTTCCACGCGGAGCAGCGCGAGTACGAGATGAACCACCGCAGGCAGGCGGGCGTCGCCTCTTCCCAGCACTCGCTCGACCACACGGAAACCGAGACCAAGGACGACCTTCGACATGATCAACGGCTACTCAGCCAGTTCGCCATCTGGCTCCTGGTAGGACTGCTCCTCACGTTGGTGACTTCGTATTTTACTTTTTACCCCATTTCAGAGCACATTGCCCCAAGGCTCAGAATGTTAAGCGGCCAGCATTAAACGGCACTATCAAGTGAAGTACATTTTTAATTAATCTGTGGTGCATTCTTGACATATATCTGCCATCCAGGGTGCTATTATATTTAACACAAAAGAATACGACAAAATAATGTTCTCAAGTATTATAGTTGTAATAGATAAACTTTAAGACGTTTCAAGATTAAGATAAGAGCTTGGTAAAATTAACGATGGGAGGGAATTCCAAAATCAAACATTGTGCTGGAAGAAGCAGAATGGGAAATGTTTTGGCCCGCAGTGTGGCAGTTGAGCACAATACGAGTCAGAGGAAACAATCTGGAGGACCAAGTTCACAGGAAAATAAACCATGGTAACCATAGCAGAGTGAGATGGAGGTGACTAACTGCTAGTGAGCGAGTGACTCTAGTAAATTGGTGAGTGCTGGATTATCAATAAAATACAGTGAGATAGTAACTGGGGTATTCTATCCCAGTCGTGACAACTATTCCAACTTGTACATTAAAATAATATTAGTAATTAGTTGGAAGTACCCGGCGTTGTGTGGGGGGAAAATATAATTCAAAACTTAAAATCAAAACATAACTAATACATACAAAAATACTCAGCTATTGTGAAAGCCCAGCGTGCCGTTTGTCCATTTGTCCGTCAACAAAATGATAAGAGGCTTGCAGAAGTCCAAAGGTTTCCGAAAATTGTCAAGATCCCCCCCCACTCAAAATATATTTTTACCCCCACATAGGCATACCTACACACCCTACATACAATAGTGAGTAGTATCTAGTGACTCTATAGTAGTATCTGACTCTGCAGTAGTATCTGGTTCTAAAGTAGTATTTACTGACTATATTAGTATCTGATGACTCTGTAGTTGTAGATACTGACTGTACAGTAGTATCTACTGACTAGTAGTAACTGCTGAGCGTAGTAGTATCTACTGACCCTACAGTAGTATCTACCGACTCTATAGTCGTAACTACTAACTCTATTGTAGTATCTGCTGACTCTATAGTAGTGTAATGGATTCAACTGAGTCACAGACGTACTCTTTGGAGGCAACACATTTTTTAACACCAACACACAGGGTAACTACCCCTTAACACTATAACAACCTATGGTGGTGGACCACCAGGTTAATTGCACTAATTACACGGTAACTAGCTACAACGGACCGGACCACAGCTTGGTTTCAGGTCCACACACATACACACACATGGACGTACACACACAACAACAACAACCGCCATTCGCCACTAAGTGGCAGTGACGTCACGGGGCAGACCCAGGTGAAACGGGTCGACTGATTGAGATGAGTGGCTGATGCACCACCTGTGCCCCCTACTGTGCCAACTTGCTGTACTTTAGCCACCCGGCGCTCCGCTCGTTGTTGTGAGTGTCGCTCCTCTGCCCTCCATTGTTGTTGGAGGCCAACTGCCTCCAACTGCCCAGTAGCGTCCTTCACGAGCCTCCTCCACAGAGGCCGATCTTGACACCGCTGGTACAAATCATTGGCAAGTCCACTCAGCTCCACATCCTCCTGTACCACATCACTCCATCTCTTTTCTAGCCTGAGCCGCGCCCGTTTAGCCCCCTCGATCCGGCCGAACAAAAGCTGTTTAGGCATGCGGTGACTTGGCATACGGGCTACATGGCCATTCAATGTACACACACACACATCGACTCACACATACACATCGACGCAGACACGCACATCGACTCACACGCACACATGGACTTAAACACACACATAAATATATTTAAAAAATGTACTAACCAAATTTTAAAATATTAGTTGTCTACACACACAGACCACGCACACACATTGACTAACACACACACACACATCGACTGACACACAGACATATCAACTCACGCACACACACATCGACTCGCACACACATCGACTGATACACACACACAGACGGATGTATACATACACACATCGTGGCAGACACGCACATGGACTCGCACGCACATAAGGACTTAGACACAATAATAAATATATAAATATTTAACAAGTTAATTGAGAAATATAAAAAAAAATTGTAATATTTCCAAGGTCATTATGAAAATGATAGGTTTCTATGTACATGAGTTTAGTAAAAAAAGCAAGAAATAGAAATATTTGTTGTCTGCACACAAACATTATTAATGTCATATTTGCAAGGTGATTATTTAAATAATAGGTTTCTGTCAACGTGAGTTTAGTGAAAGAAGCAAGAAAAAAGTACTTAACATTGCCGTGGTGAGGCCTAGTCCCCTGAAGAGCCCCTGGCCTCACCTAGATTGCCCAGCCGGCCAAGGTGGCATCTTGGCAGGCTGGGGGCTAGGCCTCTACCCCCCCCCCCCCCCAGCCACGATCCCCCCGCCCGCTCTGCAGTAATATATACGGCCTATAGTGGTAGCATCTACCGAATGTATACTAGTAACTGCACGCATCAGGGTGGGGGAGGGACATCACACTGTGAAGAATTTACCTTAGCGTTTTGTGTATTTTTATAGCATTTTAACGCGAAAGAAAATGTCCCCCTCACCCCCACCGAACGCGTATGATTTGGTAGGGCCCCCCCACTGAAGGTGTGTGAGTTTGTATGGTCGAATGTGCATATGTAAATACATAAATAAAGAGAAATAACACTAAATCGCTAATTTAACTACTTTAAAGTTGACGGATGGGAAAACGGAATAGTGCTTGCTCACCATGGGGCTTACGGCATGGATATTTTTGTTTTTATGTAAACCCCACCGTTTGAGAGCCAAATCCTTCGCAAGCGTGTGCGCACACACGCACGCAGACAAAAAATGACATTTATAGGTAAGACGTTACATACAAAGGTTCTAGATAGCAAAAGGTGCGTGTCATGTGACATCACTATCCTGCATGTTCAATGCACACAGACTTGTTTTTTTGATGGCAGCAGGACAATAAGGGATGAAATGTTACTTAAGCATCGCTTGGCTCCACTTGGGTTAAGGAAACAAACTTGGGTGCTCAAGGCCATAGGATGAAAAGGTCAGTTATGCACAATAGATAATTCCATAAGAATATGGGCTACAGGATGACTCCTAGGCAAGAAACAACCCATCGATTAAAACTGATTTTTACACTCAATACACTTGTAAGAATGGATCATTTCTGATTAATGCAAAATAATGTTATTATATCTTAACTTGACATTTAGGTCAATGCAGTGAACACAACTATACATATCAGACAGAGCAAACAAGAGGAAATGCAAAAGGAGCGATAAGAGTGAGACAAATCATGATTCAAATTGCCATCGTGAATCGTGAAGATTGAATCACGAGAACATTTTAATAATTACGTGTCTGATGACCATTTTATATGAATGAATATCCTTTGTATCCTGGCATCGCAAAACGTTGGACTTTTCGCTCGGCTAACACGCAGCCTTGTCACACGACTGCATTCCGCACAGCTGAGCCTGTGCACCCCGAGCGAGAACACGCCCACCGAGAGCCTGTCGCGGCTTGTGAGCATGGTGTTCCAGTGGTTCCACTCGACGGCCTACATGGTGGATGATGAGGTGGGCAGCTTGGTGGAGAAGCTCAAGCCTCAGTTCGTCACCAAGTGGCTCAAGACGGTGTGCGAGACACGCTTCGACGTCATGGTCATGTGCCTGCTGCCCAAGCCCATGGAGTTTGCCCGGGTGTGTAGCCAACGTTGACAGGCACTCGGAGTGGTGACGCGGCCCAGCAGTAGTGCATTTGCTGCTTGCTGTAGAGGCTCGCGGTTCGAATACAGCAGGCCATCCTTATTTATGTGGGTTTATTTTGTATTATTATGTCTCTTTATTAAAAATATGCATTGTCTACTTCGCAGTGGACATTCACCATGCCCTTACGTAATTGAGTAGGCCATTGTGTGCATCATGGTACAAAATTCTAATAATTACCTATAAATTATTCAATTGGCATTACACATCACATGACCGCCCTATACTGTGAATATATTGCAGTCTATGTAAACACAGCATCTACGTGATAGCCTTGTGCAAAAAAATGAATATATACTAAATTGATTGAATTCGGAAACGTGTTTAGTGATTTGCATAACATTGTTTTGCCAAATGGAGGGAATGAGCCCGAGGGGATGGCCACCATGGAGATGGAACGATAAAATCAGTGTGCCGATGTTGGGTTGATTGTCAAATTGCAGGATCGTAAGAGATGTTGATGGCTTGGGGATGTTTTCATACAGCAGTGCAATGATCAACGGTGATGATGATGACTTTTCCCATGCTAATACACCGCTGAATGAAGGCTTCCCTTGCCATGTCAGGCATAGGGACTGTTTGAACATATCTCTCCACGCTGGTCAGTGCAGGTTGGTGAAGGGGGCAACTTGGACTGGTTCAGATAACGCTCGCCACTGATGGCAACCCTGGCTAGAAATAAAATTTATATGGCCGTTTTCATAGGGAAGCACTCTAGCCACTGCGTCACTGCTCACCCAAGTAAAACACATTTAAAATACATTGAGTAGTTTTATTTAATATTTTCAAAGTGTTGAAAAGTGTGCGATGAACATTACAAACGTACACTGCACTGTTTGCCTGTCCTCAGGTGGGTGGCTACTGGGACAAGTCGTGCAGTGTGGTGAGCCAGCTGAAGGAGGGACTCACGCGCATCTTGTCGCTCATCCCCTACAACGTGGTGACGCAACCCGTGTGGGAGTGCATCATGCCCGAGTGGCTGGAGGCAATCCGCACCGACGTCCCTGAGAGCCACATCAAGGAGTTTCGCGAAGTGCTCAGGTGTTGTTATTATTACTACGACGATATTTTGCTTAGTTTAACACGTAGGATTTCGCGACCTTAATAAAGGTTTTTGGGTTAAATCGCGTAAGTATTAATGTGTCGTAGCCCTTCACCACCCGACACAGCCAGTAGTTATGATATTTTTCTTGTTTACCCAGGATTTCACTTCGTCTCAAATCTCTTTTCCGGAGCGTCCTGCTAAGCTTTCTTAGTAGGGGGCAATGTTCCTATGTGGTTGTTCATAAATTGGCATGCATCTCATTATCATCAACAGCAGCCATGACCTATCCACTGTTGGATTAAGGAAGCCCCAAACTGTCACCACCAGGCTTGAATAGTTGCAATCATCTTCTAGCGACATGTCCTGCTCAGGCCAACTTCTCTTGACAGTCCATGACGTCGTGTGTGCATTATGTTTCTTTTACAGCAAGATGTTTGACATCGAGCTGTGCCCATTACCGTTCTCCATGGAGGAGATGTTCGGTTTCATCAGCTGCAGGTTCACCGGTTACTCTGCCTCCACGCAAGAACAAGCCCTGCTCTGGCTGCACGTGAGTTTCAACGATGCAAATCTAAAGTGACGTTTGCAAGTCACATGTTTGTTTTCTCACAGCGCTATCACAGGCATCTTGTCACCTTCATACATTAGTTCTGTATTTATCTCCATAACAGAGGGGGGGCACGATATGAATGAAACTCTAGTGTAAAGTTGTTTTGTTGTTAGAGACTTCACCTTTTGAACATTTTCCAAATTTATCCAAAGTTAATCCACAATGTTGAGAAACAAACCAAAGCAAAAATGACTGTATGCAAATTTCCATTTAAAAACATCTGAGGAGAAACACATGATGGAACACGTTACATAATCCATACGAGTGCATGTTTTTAGTGTATTTTTTGTTGTGCCTGCTGTGGTTAGGTCCTGTCAGAATTGGACATCGTGGTGCCACTGCAGCTGCTCATCGGCATGTTCTGCGACGGAGTGCACTCTATCCAGGAGTTGGCCAATCAGCGCAAGGCTCGAGCCAATGAGCTTGCAGGCAGCCTGGCTCATCGCAGAGTAAGCTATGTCTTGTTTTGTTACTTTGGCACGTCATGTGCCAATTTGATGAAAGTGTGCAGAGCAAAGGGCAAGGTTCTTGGCTGGCAACGCTGAGATCTTGGTTTTGAATCCAGCTCTGAGAATTCAAAATATTGGTTTGACCATCAAGCGATTGCACATTAATCTCATTAGCAAGGTTATTGGGAAAGTGCTCCCCTCTACTGTGTGACCCAGGTTCATTTGAAGAGCTCTCAGAGGTAACTCTGTAATATCTGATTAGCATGTTTGGCTACGTACAGTGCTAAAGAAATGCAACATACATACATCTGCTTCTGCATGCCATTTTCTAACAAATGTATGCACTGCTCTGAAAAACATGTAAATGTATTCTTCATTTTATGACAATACATGTTAGCAGAGTTATGATAGCATTGGGAGACTTTTTTATGAATATATTTGTCGTGTTGAACACGGAGGCACACACTTGACTTGGAGGCAACACGTTTATTTCACACCCCCAACAGGGCTAACTACATAAAGGTACACACTCGAGACCCTAACAGGGTAACAACACTACTTTAACAGGGTAACTACATAACCCGGTCAGTCAGTAACATTCTGACTGACCCACGATGCCGAGCGAAGACCGAAGATTAAAGAGACGTAGCGCCGAGGGTTGATTCCAGAGAACAGCCAAGAACACTCCAGGGACTGCCCCTTTATGCTCCTGGGCGTGACCTCGCTCCGCCTTCGGCCACGCCCCCTTCGAGACCTTTCCCGAAGGATCTCGGCCGAGCATCGCGTGTCCCTCAAGCCCCCCTCGGGCCCCCCTCACTACCCTGTCCCGGTCACGTGCCCTCTCGGGTTCACTCAGACTACCATGTCCTGACTTGCCCTCTCTCAGGCCGTCAACAGGACTATGCCCCCTAGGGCCCGCTCGCATGCCGTACTCACTCTGGCCCCAGAGAGAGGTTCCAGACGCACAGTAGCACTCTTATGATAGTGCCTGGCGCTAACACTATAGTGACACCCTTAACGTCACTACATATGTATGAAAGCATAGTGGGCTGGGAAAACTGGCCACGTTGAGGACCTGAGCACAGCACGTGGTGTCGTCGCAGGTGAGCGTGCTGTCAGACCCGGGAAGGAGAGGCCAGCTGAATGCTCCGAGCCCCTTCCACAGTCCGTTCCGAAGCCCGTTCCGCAGTCCCTTCAGGAGCCCATTCCGCAGCCCCGTGCGGACCCAGGGCCAGGCCACGGGCAAGACAGCTGACTACGATACTGATGACGAGGACCTCAACCTCTCCTGCTACATCCTCATGATGGACCTCATCCTCAAGCAGGTGAGCCCACGCATTTGCATGAGACCCAAAAACAACGCTGAATAGATTTTTAGTTCACTTTGCTAATCATATCGTCAATTTGATGTTTCGATATTCGTTGGCCTCTTGACCAATGGTGGACCCAGGATTTTCAGGTAGGGGGGGCAACCCCTCCAACAATGAAAAATGAGGGTCGAATTCGAACCGTGAGTGATCGGCATCGCACTCGCTGAAGGTGAATTCCATCAGGGAAGTCGTGTACTGTATACGCAACTGTGCACAATTCTGCAAGTCACTTATAACTGCTTTGCCGTTACTTATTGCCAATTATGGACTCAGACTATTGTCCTATCATCTCATAGAGTCCCTGGCACGTAATAATATGCTAAACAGTGGCAGTGGGGGTCGCAAAATGCCGATTTATTACTAATAAACACCAATGATCCGATCGAAATTAGGGATTCGATCGGATCATTGGGGGGGCACGTGCCACTCCACCCCCCCCCCCCCCACTGGTTCCGCCAGTGCTCTTTACGATATTCATTGTGTTGAAAAACACTCGACAGGAGCCCTCTGTGAAGGCTTTCGTCTTGTTTCCACTGAATAGGTGATATGCGTAATTGTTGCTCATTGGCTGCGGAGAGTTTCTTTCTCACGGCACTTGATAGAAGTCAACGTAAAGCAGTCAGGTCGATCCATTACCCAATACTCGGTAATTCACTCCAGTCACTCACTCAGTCATTCAGTTGCCTCCTTATAACTCTTTTATCATTACCGCCATGTTTACTGTTCCCATATTGAGGGCTGTATCTACCAGACTGAATGTTTGATCTCATCCATACTGTGATCAATCACCACACTGCAGGTCACAACAATTATCTTTCTGCTTCTTCCCTACTTTGGAATTCCCTGATTGCTCAATTCAATTAACATGTTAACTGTTTTCTATTACAACTTTGGTCGTGCTGTTTCTGGACACTTGACAATTTGGGCCCATGGGGCTTGTGCTCAGCAACTGTGTTTAAAAAAAAACAAAATATACCGATGACTCAACGTCTTCACTTTGTTTTTGCTGCAGATGGAGCTGCAGGACGAGGGCATCGTGCTGGGCCTGGAGCACCAGCTACCGCGGGACATCCTGTGCCTGCTGGACAGTGTGCTGCAGGCGCCATGGGGAGGCACGCACACATGCCGCGGAGAGGACCGCGCAGTGCCCGAGTGCTCGTTGTGCCAGGCTAGCGCCCTCTTCTACCAGCTCTCCTTCCAACTGCTCGAGCTCCTCCTGCCCAATGATGAGACAATCCTTTCCGTAAGAACCGGCTCGGGCTTTACGCTCAGCGTTGAATCGCATTCACCATCCCGACCGGCGTGGGGAAGTATGGTAAAATAACAACAATGACCTTCGTGGTCTAACAGTGGATTGACAAAAGGGGTGCACATGTACATTCATTGCTTCTAGGAATTGTCCCTTAGTGTTAATTGTAGATGGATGTGATGCGGCATCATGGCTCTTATAACGTTAAATCTGGTAATATATATTTTTTATTACATACACAGTCTTTTTTCTGAGTGCGTTTTACACGGTGATCGAAAGTCAGTTTACTTAGATAAAAAGTGGAAATTATTACTGACAGTTTTATTATTTTTTCAGTTTTTCTACAAAAATGTGGATTTCATTTTTTTTACATAAATAAGTAATTACGATGTAATTTTGACATACATAAAATAGAAGATGCAAACAGTAATGTGTCTATCTCAGTAAACTAGCTTTAAGCTGTATTCTCTCTGTTTCACATTGGTGTTTTTTCTAAATGCTTGCATTTACAGGAGACCCCGGAAAGCCTGGAGGAGAGCCTCTTGCTGCGCACGCCCAATTTATCAGCCAGGGGCGAGGGAGAGGAGAAGCAGGATGGCAGAAAAGGGGACCTGACAGAGAATCCATCAGGTGATGACCTCACACAGTTGACTGAGGTTCCGTTAGCTGCAACATTATCATACAAACTTGGATTCTTTTGAAATGTGAAACGGCGGCACGTGTCTCAGTGTTGTTTGTTGATGGGTACCCAAAATAGATCTGCGTCCCGTTATTGTGCTCTACCCAGCTGGTAAAACAGAACCGAAGGAGTCCGGACAAGAAAACAAGAAGAAAGGGGAGCTCAAGTTCAACCTGCAGCAGCTTCCTGTCACCCTTAAGCTCATCTTCACTCTGCTGCAGGTACCCTCTTCATACGGAGGGAAAGGCAGCTGAATGGATGGAAAAGTCAAAGCACGCACTCAGATGAATGTTTATTGAATGGTTCCTGAACCCTTTCACACCGGGTTCAGTCTGTCCTCAGGACCCGCCGATGATGCCCTCCTGTGGCCAACTCCTATATTGTTTCATGTCAGCGAATCTAGGTTTTGTTTGCGGGCCACATACACACAGGATAAGCAAATAATTTAGTGATGATTTGCGTTGTCTGCTGCCATGTGGTGGCAGTATCTGGAAAATAGAAACCTTGCACAAGAAATATCAAGGGTCATTCTCCATTCATTTATTCTAAAAATGTTTATAGAAATAAAACTAGCCAACTACATCATGGGACCTCCTTTGCCAGTACCAAAATATGAGAATAGGTTTTCCCCTTTTTTATGCCAACAAAACAGGTGTTAAGATGTTAAAACACCAAACTGAAACCTTTAACAAGCAGTCATGTCTGCATTAACCACAATACTTGTGGTCAGAATGCAAACACCAGGTCCAAAGAAAGCTGTCTCTGGTGTGGACAATCAGTTTCAAAGACAATGCATATATTATCAGAGTGTTTTTTTATGCATTCTGACCGCAAGTATTGTGGTTAATGCAGACTTGATTCCTTGTTAAAAGTTTCAGTTTGGTGTTTTAATATCTTAACATCTGTTTTATTGCCAGAAAAAAGGGGAAAACCTATTCTCAAAACTGGCCAAGTTTATAAAACAAAGTTTTAAATGTGGTTGGCTGCAGGGTGCCATATGGTTGAAAAACATATGGATGTGAAAGGATTGTCTAGAAAAATGTAAGCACTTGAGGTGAAACAATACATCGCTGAAGTGATTCATGTTGATTTTTTTAAATCTCACAATGCATGTGTAGTGTGTTATATGGAGGCACACACTGGAGTTGGAGGCAACACGTTTATTACAACACCCCAACAGGGTAAATACATAAACGTACACTGGTTCTACATCTGGGTGATGACTACACGGTTAACTAGAGCACAACGGGGTGACTACATAACCGGGTCAGCCATTAACACTGCCTGACTCACGATGCCGAGCGTAACATCGAAGACTGAAGAGGACTGAGGATCGAGGATCGAAGATCGAAGAGACGTAGCACCAACGGGTTCCATGCCAATAGAGAGCCTCGATCGCTCTCGGGACTTCCCTTATATGCACCCAAGCGTGACCTCGCTCCGCCCTCGGCCACGCCCCCTTCTAAATCCTACTAGAAGGCTCTGGGCCGTATCACGTGTCCCTCGAGCCCCTTTTCTGGCCCCCTTGCTACCCTGCCCCAGTCACGTGCCCTCTCGGGTTCACACCGAGTATCACGTCCTCACTTGCTCTTTCTCCGACCCTCACCAGAACTATGCCCCCTAGGCCCCGCTTCCATGCCATATCCACTCTGGTGCCAGAGAGAGACTCAAGATGCACAGTTCCACTCTTGTGACAGTAGCTGGCGCTAAACACCATAGTGACTCCATATACGTTACTACACATGCAATATGTGTATAAAATGGTTAGTTTTGTATTCATGTATGTTGTATGTAGTGTGTTCACATTACCCCTCCAGCCAATAGAGATGCTACCATTCTCCACTGTAAAATAAAAAGGGAACGTTTCTTGAATTTAAGCATGGCAATACATTGAATGAAAGTTCCACCAGAAGCGGGCTTCGTAATAGTCATACATATTTTGATATATTGTCTTTGCAAACATTTTTGCAGGAAATTAAAAAGTTTGAGGACCCAGACATCCTGGTGAATATGTTCAACTGCCTGCGGGTGCTGTGCCTGCGCGGGGGCGTCCTGTACCAAGCCAAGAATGCGCATCCACATTTCCTTGCCTACATTCAGGATTGCATGCTTATCCCAAGGTAATTCGCACTGATTCATAAAACTTCACCCAGCCAGGTGGTTCAGCAGGAGAGCGAGCGGTTCGCAGTCAGAATGTCACCAATTAAAATCCTGGTTTGGGATTTGACTTGACCTGTAATCCCTCCAGAGTCGCTAATATGAGCACCACTTTGTGATGAAGTCAACATAAACTTGGCTCTTCCATGGGAATGTGGAAGTTTCACCACTGGCTCTGGGCTCTAAACAGGGGATGAGCACCACCTCAGTGATCGTTTAAGCAGGAAGTCACTTGGACTTTGTTACAACTTCACCACTGTCATAAAGAGTGCCGTTCGATATTTAACATTCTGGTTCGATACAGAAAAAGGGGTACTTGTCAAGAAATATATAGTAGAAAATGTTTCAGGGAGGCGTCACTTTTCACCACATTTTCTTTGAAGGAAGGCATTTTATAAAATACATGTCCACTATATCATTACTTGAAAAGTAGTTTGCTATTTGCACTACCAATATGGATCACTTGAAGGAAGTAATTTTAGTTTTGTTTTTCGATAATGTATAACTTTGTCTTCAAAACAGTGTGCTTTCTTTTCTTCTTAGCTTGTGGATATTTCAACCTTCCTTTGTTAGAATGTCTACCCTTTGTGAATAATGAACAGAAACATACAAATGTGCCTAAAGGAGTTAGTTTGAATGAGTGTCGTGCGCTCCCTCCTTACACATATTCATGGACATTGACAAAAAAATGGAACCGACATTGAGAAATGCACAACACATGGATTTGATTGACTGATAATAAAAGTAGTTTGGCTTGGGCAGAACACATCAGTAGAAGGGATGATTGCCAGTGGTCGAGACTTACGAGGAAGTGGTAGCTAGAGGACAATATGCCTAAGGGTATATATGTTTGTTGAACTTCTTTCGCACCGTGCATATCCATCACGGAAATGGAACCATTAAATCATCTCATGTGCAGAAGCTGGACCATAGGAAATGTTGATTGCTTAGAAAGGCCTTTCCCCATCATTGGTTAGATCAGGTTCATAATTATGAAGTCTGTTTGGTGCCGTGAACAGCCTGTGGCAGGTGATGAAGACGGAGTTCTCGCAGCTTCCTGCGGTGGCGGCGCCGCTGCTGCTGCACACACTGTCCTTGCCGCACGGCGGCGACGTCTTCTGGGGTATCATTGAGCGCAGCTTCAACAGCAAGGAGTGGAAAGTGCGCTTCGAAGCAGGTGGGCCGACAGGGAAGCTCAGTTGAAATGGAGATTCCATTCCATTCGGCTCTCATGGAATTGTCCCATTGCTAATTATTATTATCAGTTTAGTATTGCACACATAGAACATTCTACAGGATCCTGCTTTTTATGTACAGTTTGACCTGTAATTTAGATATCTATAAATTGCATTCATTAACTTTTGGCATATCATTGGAATAATGAGACATTACTCAGTATTTTAAACCCTCATCTCTAAGGCCACGAGAGCTCGGCTTGGTAGCTCATGTCCCACACAGTATCTATGCTACTTCAGAAGGAACAAACACTTGAATTTCTTAAACATGTACCCAAGAATTTGAGGCCCTATGCATCACAATAATACCAAAAATGGATGTATCTCTGAAAATATTCATAATTGAGCTTAAACATGTGGCCGAGCTTTATAGCTGACATATATCTTCAACTGCACCAAATATATGCAAAATATTAAAATTTAGGTGGGAAGCTTCCTGGATTTTGTGTGGTTGAGTTGATGTGGAGTGACCCGTTAGACTAATTTTTCCACGAGCATTTACCCACTTTCCACTCTGCACCGGCAGTGGAGAAGGTGGCGGTGCTGTGCCGCTTTCTGGACGTGGCTGCAACAGCCAAAAGCCACACACTCAAGTATTCGATGGCGCATGCCTTTTGCTGCTACCTGGCAGCCGTGGAGGACGTGAGTCCCGCTGTGAGCACCAGCGCTCAACTCCAGCTTGACACCATCAAGCGCTCCGCCCTGCAGGTGTGTAGCTTTGCACTTGCCCGGTTTGCCAACGAACCATCGACTGATCTGCCTTTCACCGTCAAAGTGTAGAGACATACACCAGCTTAGGAAGGGTTTTCACCTGTGTTTTTAACTAAATATGGACAAAGACCACGTACGAAAGTGCTGTACTCTGAAGTAATTTATATGATTAAATAAGTGTTTGGGACAATAATGTAAAATCACACAAGCCAAGACTCAATGTATCCTCATATGGTTTAATAAAATGACAATGCGGATCTATATGGTATCTAAATGCAAGCGCATCTCAAGATGCTGTATAGAAACAGTGGTCATTTAGTTTCGAGAGTATCTGACAGTTATAGGCAAAGGGGAAGAGCACAGTCTTGAGCCTGGTCTTAAACAGGAGCAAGGAGTCGACAGCACAAATGGCGTATAGAAAGGAATTCCAAACTATGGGAGCAAAAGAAGAGAACGAGTGAGCTTCCACTGAGAGAAGGTTGACTGGGCTCTTCATAGAAGGATTTATCTGCTGAAGATGCTCGCGGTCGACCTGGGCTCACTGGCCTATTCAGCACTGTAATATCTGTTTGGTTTGGTTGTTGCACAGTGCCTGTGCGCATGCATGGACTTCCAGTTTGACACGGTGGTGAAGGACCGGCCCACCATCCTCAGCAAGCTGCTGCTCCTGCATAACGTGCGGCCGGACATCCCCGCACTCAGCTGGGAGTTTTTTGTCAATCGCTTCGACACGTTGTCACTCGAGGCTCAGCTCCACCTGGACTGCAACAAGGAGTTCCCCTTTCCCACCAGTAAGTGCCACCAGGCCCAAAACTTCATGCGGTCGGCAACAAATAGCACAACCAAAATTTGTCATAAAAGTTAACACATGTCTTGAAATGAGCTGGAGCTTGGGCAAAGAGATGATAGGAGGGAATTCCAAAGTGGAGCAGTGCAAGGGAAGAAGCAGAAGAAGCGTTTTGGGTGGTAGAGTTGGTTGCCCGGGCTTGATCCTTGGCACAGATGCCTTTCTCCGTGGGATTTGCATGGGTTGCCTCCCAATTCTCTGGTTTCCGCCGAAAGCAAAAAAAAAACACGGTGTAATTGTGATTAGCCAAATATTGCAATTCAAAATATTACCTGCAAATTACTCAGTTGGGATTACACGTCTAAACATTACCCCCGACTGTAAAAAATTGGCAGGACCCTCCTAAAAAAGAGTCTTGAAACTTAGGCTTTTCGATTGCGTCAGTCCACCTTGTGCTGTGTGCATTACACATGCAGTTTCGTGATGTCACGTGACAAGTGTAAGGTGTGATGCAATTTAAAAAAATTGTGCATTTTGCCGTCTAGAAATGTTTTTTTGTGTTTTATAAATGCTCATTGATGAAGTTGACCAAACTTACTCTTTTAGGATCAAAGAGATTGAGAAATTTGTGGTGGTGCCAGTTTGGTTTGCCTTCCTGCTTGTCTGTGGTTTCCTGTGTCCCTGGTTTATTCTCTTTGAGAATGACGGGAAACTGCACGTTACATATTCGGCATGATTATGACAATTATTTTTTTTGAATGCGTCATCTTTGAACGACAGCCATCTCGACGGTGCGAACGAACGTGGTGAACATGAGCGACGCGGCTATGTGGAAAATCAAGCGTGCGCGCTTCGCCCGCAATCGTCAGAAGAGTGTGCGCTCGCTTCGTGACAGCGTGAAGAAGCCGGCGGAGTCCAAGAGGACACACTCGCTGCCGGAAACCCTGACACACAGGCTCCGTTGAGTATCGTTCACTCACCGTCTCGTCGGCTACTCAGCCGTTGTCATTCGCAATAGCTGCATCATTTCACACAAAACAACGATGAAAGAGAAAACTGGTCCATGAGCTATTTCGTGATAGAAAAATATATATGACGTTAAGATATTCGGACACGTTATATGTATGCAGAAGAAGACCGATTGTACCATATATTGTTGTTCTGAACATGATGTGTTGGAAACATGAAATTCGAAACTTTGTTTTTTTCTTTCAGGTTCTGGTCCACATTTCAGTTAGAAATTATTCTACAGTACATCTACATGATGTGATTTATAGAGTGAATTGCGATGTTTATATTTCATTTTACTTTTTTTTCATATATTTTTATCATCACAGCTTTACGGATCACTCGCCATCAGCAGTCCGCTCCATCACTTGGGGAGATGATTAAGCATGTTTTACCTGGTATGAGTCACACCATCACTCACAAAGACCTAACAACAGTCATCCCTGACATCAACCATGACATGTGAAGCTGCTGCTGCTGATGATGAGAAATATATGGCTGCCAGAACACACCAAGTATTAATCCTCAAACTAAATTAATCCAGGTACTGGATGTCAGTCGAGCAACCAATTAATTTGCACAGTGTTTCTCAATTCTAGTCCTTCTGACGGGCTATGATGCAGATTTTAGTGATTGCCAATCATCAGGTGTGTGCATTTGGTCAGTGACTTAATTTATATGTGAATAGAATTTGTTTTAAGCCAATTGATTAGCAGAGCACTGAGCAGAGCATTCGGTTAATGTTGGCTCCACACAGGGGTATGGGAACAAACAACTCCCAGAGCTGGAAGAAACAACATTTTATTGTATCCATAAAAAAACATTGGATGTTATGTTCCACATTGTCACACTCATTTGCATTGCATGTCAACTACCCCACTGGATTTTTTTTAATGTTTCTCTAAATAAATTACTTTTGGGTAGAGTTTCGTAGTGGAGAGTTGCACTATAAAAATCTATTAGTCGCATTACAGCTATTAAATTGCAATGGCTTTATTTATATATGATATAAAAAATGCTTCCCTGCATCTGGTGCAAGTGCCCTGTTTCGAGTGTACATGCCCTGTATTTGGTACACGTGCCCTGTCTCGTGCACACGTGCCCTGTGTCTGGGGTATGTACCGGCGGCACGAGCAGCTCCAGTTGTGATTTTTTTTTTTAAACAAAACTCCAGGTGGCAACCTGGCGGTGGGAGACGACATCACCATCTTGGACCCCCTCCCGGAAGACGCACGCATCGACCATCAGACCGTGCACCACCTCATCACGGTGCTTACCAAGTTCATGGCCAAGGAGCGCAGCACCTCGGAGACCGACGTGGCATCCGCCAAGGCCTTCAACACCGTCAAGAGACACCTGCACGTGCTGCTGGGCTACGACCAGCAGGAGGGCTGCTTCATGGTGGCTCCCACTAAGATGCGCAGCAGCACCTGCTTTAATGCCTTCATGACCGGCATTGCGCAGGTGCCCTGGATGGAGATTTTGTGGAGATTAACGGCGTTTTGGGGTGCAGGGTTTAATCAGGGTGACGTTTCTTGAGCCTCGCAGCGAAATCTACGTGGGACACTCTTCTTTGTTTGTCCTACCTAGTTCCAGGGCACACTCACCCTCACCAACCTGCACTGCCCAGTGTGGTGAAGTGCTGTCAAGCAACCTCTCTGACCGACATGGCATCGCGGTGCACTACATCCAGCAGTGGATTAAGCGTGGATGATGACGGGGCTTACTTTTCTCCGTGTACTTAAACGCCGGCGCTGTGTGCTTGCACAGGTGCTCGACTGTAACATCAGCCTGGGCCGGCAGCTGCTGCCACTCGTGCTGCAAGTGCTGAAGTATGGTGCCTGCCCTCAGCTGCGCCACTACTTCCAGCAGCCGCCGCGCTGCTCGCTCTGGTCCCTGCATCCGCACACGCGGCAGCTCTGGCTCCGTACTCTCATAGTCATCCTCTACAAGGTGCGCTCTCCCGGTTCTCCCGATCTGCCTGTTCGCTTGAAGGACGTTTGCGTAGCTATGTCAGGTATATAGCTACGCAAAAGGCGGTGCAACTGCACCGGGGCCCACGAGCCGTAGGGGCCCAGGTTCCAGGCGACGTAGAAGTGGGGGGTGGAAATTGGGAAATGGGCCCCGATTTTATTCCTTGCACCAGGGCCCGTGCTAACCAAACTACACCACTGGTTTAGATTGTACTCTGTTGGAAATATCACTCGTGGAGAACTATTGCCATAACTCAGGCAGGGAACCCAGCAGAAATTGCTTAACATGGTACACTCTGCTCATCTTATTCTGTGTTGTATTGTTCCCTCTTGTATGCAAGTTGAGAAAATCCCCCTTACCGCCTCTGTCCACTCAGCATTGTAAATTAATACACCACAATCGTTCGGCAGGCCTTGTGTGGTAGAGTAAAGTGTGGGTGTGCCCCCCTCTTCGAAGAGGAGATGAAATATCCTCTATATATTTTGCTCCCTTTCGCTAGCAGTGGTGGGAGCGAGCTATTATCGGGCCGCATCTGTACCATTACCTTTTTAGTACCCCTACAAGGAGCCGGACACATGCAAGGTGGTGCTGCAGCTGATCTATGTGGTGGTGAACACGCTGGATGCCCAGTACCACAGCTGCAAGCCGCACCCCACTGCAGGCCCCCTCTACAGCGACAACAGCAACACGAGCAAGTACAGCGACAAGGAGAAGATGGGTGAGTGGGGCTTCTTGTTTCACACAAGGCGGCAGGGTGGTGCAGTGGTAACACTTGTGCCTCGCAGCTAAATATGGTCTGGGTTCCAATTCCTGACTTGTGTGCCTTTCAGTGTAAGAGCTCGTATGTTCTCCTGTTCCACATGGGTTGCTTCCAGATTCTGCAGCTTCCTCCCATCGAAAAAAAACCCCTTAATGCAAATGGTATTGGCCAAAATACCAATCCTTAAAAAGTATCTGCATCTGACTCAATTTGGATTACCCATAGGGACCCCCTCCTGCGAAGACTTGGCAGGACCCTCCTGAAAAGACTTGAGACTCGGTTAGGCTTTCCTGGCTAAACAAGCATAGTCATTCATAATTATCATCACCAAATATCCTGACTGAAAAATGCATAACATTTTAAATGACAAAACATAGAACATTTACAGCCGCTATGTCAATCCATTGCTGGATGAAGGCCTTCCTCTTTTATGTTGGTCTTGGTGGTTGATTGACAAAACAAAACAACAAAAAGTGGATTTGTATAAATTAATATACAACATGAAACAAATGCCTTACACTGCATTGACTAGAGATGTGGACATGTGATCTCTATATTTTGGCTTTAGTAACCTGGGGTGGAGGGAGCGGGGGTTTGAGGAGGGGGCCGCCATATCACAAATTTTGAAAACCAATGGTCTAAATGCAACCACATCTCAAGATGCCACACTTAAACGGTGTGAATGTTTTGTTTATAAAAAGGTGTGGTACGTCGTTGACAGAGGAGAGGGGGAAGGTTTTTAACTCGGGAGTTGACAATATGGATGACTGGAGAAAGATCACTTGCAGAAGATTAAAGCAAGAGAAGAGAATGAGCGACCTCCCACTGACCGAAGGTTGACCACACTTCACCATGCTAATCAGTCCAGGTTGGTGAAGAGCAGGCCCAGGACCAGGTCAGATATCACCACTAATGTTCGCCATAACCAGGAAATTAACTCAGGCCGCCGGATTCTTAGCGCAGTGTGCTAACCACTGCACCTCCGTTCCATTCGTCATGAGTTATAATTGCGATATGAAGGGGAAATGCTCAAAAGTGGTGGTGTAATCCCCTTATTCATTTTATTTACGTGTCTTTTCTCACCAGAAGAAGACAGCGTGTTTGATGAGTCTGATGGTCACGAAACACCCACACGAGCAAAAGAGTCCCAAACATTCCTGGCAAAGCTCAAGAAGATGGGAGGATTGAAGAATACCAAATATCAGCAAGTTGATATGCTACCTCAACGGAGTGAGTTCAGAGCTTTCTGAAACAAATTTGAGTAAAATACTAGATTTGCAACCAATGTATCATCAACTTAATTGTTGTGTGTTTGTGTTTGTGTGTTTAGATTCAGACATAGAGCTATCACAATACAAAGATAAATGTTCCCTGCACGACATGCTAAAGTCTCAGTCAAGCCCCTCGCCAAAAACCCAGGAGGAGCTGCTTTCAGTGTCCATCTCAGTGCCATCCATGAGTTCATCCAGCAAGAGGCTCTTGCGGCCCAAGCACAGATCCATGGAGCACAGGAGCACATACTCGGAGCCACTCCACCCAGCCCTGGTGGAGTGCCACAGGAGGTCCTTCTCCGCCAGTCCAGATATTGAAAGACGCTTCCTGCCATCGTCCAAACACCACGACGCCAGCCAGAACTCCTCGCCCGACAGCCAGATATTTGTGTCTCACCACAGGGGAGGCGACGAGCACGTGACAGCGGCGGCCAAGGCGAAGCAGATGACGAAAAGCATCACGCCCGACATCAGGCTCAGTTTTCTGGATGTGCCGGAGGTGAAGCTCGAGGACATTGAGGAGTTTGAAGCGGAGAACAGAAAGGATGGCGATCTGATGAGCATCTCGCCTGACAAGGCGGTCACGGCCGCTTTGGAAAAGCTGTCGATGATCACAAGCTCCGACAGCGATTCGCTCACATTTGATCTTCTCCCGCCGTTGCAAATCATAGAGAGCGACGATGAGAACGAGCCGGGAGAACGGAAGCCTTTGAAGGGTATGGACGCCCAAGGTCATGGCCCCAAGGTGACACCTGTGGTGACGGTGAACATCGAGGACTGCACCGGAGAGGTTTCCATCAGGGTGCCCGACAGCACCGCTTGGCTGCAGCCTCCGAGCGCGGCAGACTTTCCCGCGATCCCAAGCGCGACGTCAGAGTGCCTCGAAATCTTCAGCTGCGGCGCGGACAGCCCGGCTTCAACGAGCACGTCGGACAGGGACAACGGTGCCAGCGCGAAGCAGAAAACCAAGAGGGGCCCGCTCGAGAAGCACACGGCGGTGCAGGAGACCCCCCCCGACGAGAGCCCCGCCAACGGCATCGACGGTGAGAGGGAGCGCACGCCGTCCTGCGCTGTCGCGGAAGATGATCGAGAGGCCGAAACGACCGAGGCAACCATAGAAGAAGGTGACCTCAAGGAGGGTGAGGAAGAGGAGGGGGAAGAGGGAGAATTCCGCATTCAAATTGTTCCCCGGCAGAAGAAGGAGCGGAAAATCGCAGTCAGCGCCATTCAGAGGGAATACCTGGACATGCCCTTCAGCATGCCGCAGCAGTCCATAGACATCGACGATGGAGGTACGCTTCGTGAACTGCGTGGGAGCGCTTGTATTTGTTTAGCGTGTCAATACTTTGTGCGTCAGTAGGTTGTTCTCAAGTGTAGTTTAGATGATGGTCCCAGCCCTGTCACCAATGACCGCACAACAAATCTATTCCATAAAATTTATTTCAACATCCTTAATTTGAATTTAATTTGAAGCTTTCGTGACTGCAGGAATTACGCTTTGGTTCTTTCGGTAAAGTCACATCGTACTATATTATTTAATTTATATCCTTAATTTGGCTACATTTCAGCTCTGGGAATTAAAATATCGGTTTGACTTAATGCAATGAATGTTACTCTCATATGCGAAGTCAAGGGAAGGTATTGCCCTCTACTGTGTAGATCAGAGGTTACTTGAAGGGATCTCAGAGAAAGTTCTGTAATATCTTCTGCTTTGGGCTGTTCTCTAACACGAACAGTTGCTGCTCTGTGAGAGATCCGAATGGTTATGCATCTGATAAGGTGATGTCAATAGCGCAAACGGTATACAACTGGGGAAAATTAAAGAAAGTAAAAATACCCATTGTGGCTTATTTTTGACTGTTTTCAGATGTTCCGGGCCCTGCTGTAGGTGGTCCCCCAACGCTGGATTTGCCTCGGGAAAGTACCTCTGCACAGTCATTTGGAACGGCTGCATCAGCTGAAAGCAGTCAATGTAATGAATTGCCACGTTTCATGGTTTTTCTCTGCATATCTTCCTGATGTATATACGTTTTCACCTTTTTTCAGGTTGTACTGAATGTTTTATGTCCAGAGTAACCCGAGCCCCCACCCCCCCCATCAGATGCTTCGTGGCATCCACACGCGGAAAACAAAATGCTTTCTGCACTGTGTAGATGTGATATTAAAGTGGCAGCGGTGTCAGGGGCATACAAAAATATGACAGTGCAGTACTTCTGGACAAATTTCACAGCGACAGCATTGGCTGTAATGTGAGGAACAAGTTATTTGAGTAAAGGGTTTGCATTTCATGCTTATAAGAATGTGTTTTTTTTTACTTTGGTCTGCGTGCATATATCGGTATTTTTTTTATTTTCCTCAAGGTTTGTCAGTAGGGGTCTCACTGATTTGAACCCTTTGTGGTTGACATGTGTGATTGTGTAAGAGTTGCTTATGTGATTCATCATCAACAATGATCTGTCTCCACGTTGGATGACTTATCAGGCGTGTTCTCTCCTTTGGCTGCCACTGTCAATAGTCTTGACCACCGGCCATCTTTCCTTGAGCAAAGTGTCCTGCCCAGGCCCACGATCGGTTCTCATGAGATTAGATGCGTCACTTTCTTAACAAGCAAGATGACGTCTCTAACTTGCGCATGTTCTCTGATCCATGTGTTCCCCTTTCTGTCTGTGTAATTCCAAGCCTGTACCTCCCCATGCTCATTTGTGCACTTTCATGCTTTTGTTCCATTTTCTTCGTCAATTGCCCATATTTCTGATTTGTATACCATGCCAGGCTATATCATGAAAAGCAATATCCAAATGTGCCGAAAAAATAACGTTTGTTTTTTATATAATTGCACCATTTATTGGGGCTCTTTCTTGACAGCTCATTACAAGCCAATGAAGCGTGCTTCTCTGGGCGTTCTGACACTGCAGCAGCCACTAAGGCAGCAGCTGGAACAGCAGGGAAACAGTCCGCAGCCCCTCGGGGCCTGGGAGGCAGGCAAGTACACGACGCATGACCTCGCCTGCGTCCGGCATCGCCGCTTGCAGAGTTGGTCTGGAACAGGTTGCAGCTCTCTGATCGACGTGTTTTTGGGTTGCACCGCGTGTTTGGCATGTTGTCCACATTTTGCTCCATGTATTGGGAACTTCTTCAGGAACTAAATTCTTAAGTAGCTTCCAGCACATGGACAAAAAACATTGGACATGGTCATCATCATGCTGAACAATACGCAGGACAACCCCTGAAACACACATTGGAGAGGTACTCCGCACAACCGCGAAACCCTATGTAGTGGTATTAGTTTTGTACGTCTCATACCATTTTATTGCAGCTCAAATTAGAGTGAGCATCCAGAGTTAAATTCTGTGTGGTATCCATGGCACAAGCGGATGATCACCAGTAAAAAATATTCATGTTGTCGATAAAATACGTACCACTTGTTTGAAACAAACCATTGTCGTAATTTGGATAGACTGCTCATCCCCCATCATCATTCGAAAGTCAAATTTCAACTCGAGACCGCAAATGTGAACGAGTGCTGCCGTATGGCTCATGCGACGAGGACGATGTAGTGACTTGACCCTCTGCTGTGCTGCCACAGGCACCAAGTACAGCCTGGTGTCAGCTGCCAGCATCCCCAGCATGTTTGTGCCGGTGCCAGAGGAGTTCACGGACGAGCAGCCGACCCTGGCAACGGACAGGTCAGATTGTCCACAAAGAGCAGCTCCCTGAAAATCGTCATGAATTCTCAAGCCGCCCGTCGTCAACCCCGCACCGCAGCCACGATCCCGCAGGTTCACAGTTGAGCTTGCCCTGGTCATTAGAGGCACCGTGCATTCGCTGCCGAGTGCTTCACTTTGTGCAGGGCCGAAAGGAGTTGTACCTCTGTGGTTGCAGACCTGTCCATGGTTATGTAATGCAATTTGGTATTTGGGAGCATCTAAATAAGGTTGGATCGGAAGAAGCTGCACATAAACAGCAGATGGACTTATTTTATGAGAGATAAAGTCCGTTAAAGGCAGAGGAAGAGAGGAAACACTTTTTCCCTTCATTTTATTTCTAGAGAATGTATCCATGAATTGTCCACACCTAGGTCTTGAAGCCTCAGACATCATTCAATGACTGTGTGGCACTACGACCACGTGTACATGTGTTTGCGTAGGTTGGTGAGCAGTGTAATTACTTTATAGTGCCATCAAAATTTTAATCAAGATGTCCAAAACAGATAATAAGAAGGATTTACATTCATTCGCAATTAAATAACACTGCAACTTATAGCACTGTACAGAGCACATGCAAATAACAGTACTATCATGGCATTGGTAGGGGAAGAGGAGGGTGACTCACAGTAAAAGAAAAACGGAGGTGAGAAAAACACGGTAGAACAGAGAAGACTTAATATCTGTGCCTCGACTTTTCCAGGCACCAGCATGTACAACAGCAGTAGCTGCCACTATTGTGAAACAGTGCATTTGTTCTCGTGTCCCAGTTGACTGGTGGTGGCCTATGACCGAGTCACCTAGAATGTGTGCCATCTCGTCATATTCCAGAAGCTACGGAGGAATTTAGCGCGCCCACCATATGCTGCTGCGGGGCTATGCTGTGAGCAGAAAGAAGTGCACAAAATTGATTGTTGTACTTTCATTCTCAGCTTCAATAGATATGCTCCCCACTTCACAAACCCGTATTGAGCAACTTAAAAAAAAAAATGGTCGAATAGCCCCCAAGGTCCACATGGCGCAGAGAGGCCCTCATCCAGCAGTCGACTGACAGACGGGCCGTGCTTGTGAAGTCGTGGCGTTTATACCGGTGAGATGTGCGCACGATGGTTTTTCTTTCCCAGGTGCCACGACTGCGGTGCCATTCTGGAGGAGTACGATGAGGACACGCTGAGTTTGTCCATCGTTACACTGTCCACCTTCATCCACCTCAGCCCAGAGGTCGCCGCACCCCTGCTGCTCGATATGCTGCAGTCTGTCGGCAGGTACTTATTTCTCCTCTCACCTCCGGGAGGTGACTATGACAAGGGAAATGGATGTAGGCTGGAATGCAGAAGCTTATTGTAAAATTTATGAGCGGTTTGTAAATGTTAATACATTTGGCATGGGTGCAAGCCACGTTGTCTTGTTACTCGAGTATGCTTCAAAGAACAATGTTCTCTAGAGATAAATGTTCTCTAGAGAACATTGTTGTTTTAATGAAATTAAAATAATCTAAATTACACTCATGTGTGGTCTGTGTTTACAATATCAAGTGGCGAATTCAAGAACTTAAAACAAAATCTATGATGCTTCCATCTCTTATGACACTTAATGTTTACATTGGTTGGAATTGATCTCAAAATCCCTGCTATGCATTACAATTCTTTTAACACTCTCCCTCCTCTAACATTTGCAAATTACAGCACTTAGCCTTGTGTTTGCAAGGGCATGCTAATAGTCTGTACTGGGCACACGTATGGTAATCTTTAACCACGTTCACCATTCAAGCTACTATCTGTATGATTCTCACTTATATATTATTAACCACAAATGCATGTGAATAATCTTAATATTTTTCCTACTCTTCCCTTTTGGTGAGATGTTCTTATTGGAGAGCACACAAGTCAGAGCCTACCAATGTCTTTCCATTGACTGCAACTTGCTGTGTTCCTTGAAACACTCGCTCAATGGATTTGAATACTTTACTAAACTTAATTTGAGAACAAAATGATCGATTTTGCTCCTACCCTGACGGTGCGCATCTTTATTAAGGAGGTCTCCTCAGTATGTTATGATTTTTCTTTTACCTAAATCTGAGTTGACTTGCTTATTTTTACGTTGTTATTGTTTTTAGGACTAAACTTTCCCAGCTCCCTAACCAAACGTCGCTGGCACCTAAATGAATATTTTACCCATCAAGCTTTGCCCAAATGAAACATTTCTATAAGTTCATCAGAACACTACACTGATTGATATAGATATCGTCTCCCAGAGGGAAATTGTGATTTTGTTTTTCTTTCTGCATGCTAATAAATTCCTCCATGATAGTCCTGTAACGGAAATTGTGCTCCAGCCTGGTCCGGGAGCTCGTACACAAAACTGCTTGATGTACAATGGAATAACGGAATGTGCATCATAGCCAAGACCACTGTAACCAACATCAACCTCCTGGCTCCCTATTCTGGCAAACATTCCGCCACCAAATATCCGCAGAATGCGGTACAAAATTCTACTCACCTGGTATCGACAATCAAGGGTATTTCCCTGTCCCCAGACGACCTGCTTGTCAGTTTTGATGTAGTTTCCTTATTCACCAAAGTTCCTGTACCTGACACCATCGCAATCATTGAAGACTTGGTTCATCAAGGACTAAACACTGAGGTACCCCCCCTGGTGAGACACTGTTTAACCAATACATACTTCACTTGGAATGGAACTTTCTACAAACAAACTGAGGGCACCCCAATGGGCTCCCCCCTTTCTCCGGTTATAGCTAACATTTTCATGGAGAAATTTGGGACTGACGCCATCCAGACTGCCACTCTGCACCCAACCTTATGGAAGAGGTACGTGGATGACACTTTTGTCATCTGGCCACATGGCCGGCCTGCTCTAGACCAATTCTTCGACCACATCAATTCCATACACCCAGCCATCAGATTTACCATGGAAGTCGAAAAAGATGGCAAGCTACCTTTTTTGGATGTCCTAATAAAAAAGAGACCTGATGGTTCAATGAGCCACTCTGTCTACAGGAAAGCTACCCATACGGATGCTTATCTGAAACCGGATTCCCACCACCATCCATCACAGAAGAATTCTCTCATCAAGACTCTGTAACATAGAGCCCAATGCATATCCGACCAGGAACACATAAGCAGTGAACTCAAGCACGTACACCAAGCTCTTAAGACTAATGGTTACTTCGACTATACAATCCGCAAAGCTATCACTCAAACCATGAAGAAGGACCCTCTTGAGGAGCCTTTCAAAACCATCACTTTACCCTACATTGCGGGGATCACAAAAAAGATCTCCAAAATCTTGAATAAACACAAGATCCAGGTCCGTTTCAACACATTACATAAAATCCGTGATCTGGTTCCGTCTGTAAAAGATGTGATTCCGGACATACAATACCCTGGTGTCTACAAACTAAGTTGCCTCTGTGGTAGTAGTTACATTGGAGAAACCAAACGCCACGTCTCAGACCGCATTCGTGAACACAAAGCAGACCTTAAACACGGTAGGACCAACACCTCAGCCATGGGAGATCATTGTTATAATTCAGGAGGCTCACATGACATTGACTTCTCCAAGACAGAGGTTCTTTGTAAGCCATCTGGCTACCATGAGAGATTCGTTCATGAGGCTATCCACATATACAAGCACAGAGACAATTTCAACCGAGAAGATGAATTCTGGCTTAGCAATCATTGGAAGGATTTGATAAACCATTTCAGGTCTTAATTGATTGTTCATGCTTACGGTGGCTTTCAGACAGCATACATTAATTTTTCGTCTCCCCCCTCCTCTTTTCAGAACATAGATGTACTCCTTCTAAATAAACTGCCAAATCGCTGCGCGTGGCGCTAACATTTTTTATAAATAAATAAACAGTTTAAAAATAAATAAATGCAAACCGACACTTCTTTCAAATGTTTCTTGCCGTTGGTTTTTCACACCTGATGATGACCGTTTGCGTTATGGTCGAAACGTCGTGAGAATTTTTATTGTTTTATATATATTTTATTATTTTTTTGTTTCCCTTCAACGTGACTTTACCGAAAGAGCTAAGAATATAGCATTTACCCACTTTCTTGCCAACAACAACCACCTACCCACCTCAACAATGAACTCAACAATGTACCTCACCGCCACCTGCTCAAGTGCCGATCCCCTTTCTGGGATCATGCTACTACCATCCTAGAATTTCACCCAGATCCGGAAGAATGCTAGCAAGCAGAGTGGAACAACGTGGACTTCAAGAATAAACACCTCATTCGAGACGCAATCATCATCGCACGCCCTGGCTTTCATCGCACATTGCTCGAACACACCGGTGGTGTAACCATCAATAGCATTCAGAGGCCAATGCGCACATCTTCATGAATAGAAAATTAAAGACAAGTCATAGTACTATTGTGGCCATTCAACCACAACTATGCACTATATATTAAACCACTTTAGCCTGCGCTCCTTCAACAGAGGAATGGAAAAACTACATTAATTACTGAAGCCCTCTCGTGGCTAGCAGATCTCAACATTGACATTGCGCTCCACTGCTGAATGAAGGCTTCCCCAGGGCTTTAAGTGATGCAGGTTGGTTTGATCATACTTCACTACACTGCTGAGTGTGGATTGGTAAATGGGGCCCCAGGTCTTGTTCAGATATTGCATTATTGCCACTTATGTTAGCCATGGCTGGGAATCGAACTTAGGTGACCATGTTCATAGTAGAGCGGGTGAACCACTGCGCTACCGCTCCCTCCGTAGCTACGGTTTATTACCGTTAAATTGAAAGATCTCTTTATTGTCTTTTCTTTGTATTATCTATTGATTTAATTAAATGTATCCTCCTTTCCTTGATTCGAATTTATTTTTGCATGAGCAGGTGAGTATTTATCGGCCCTGTTGCATGTTCCTCTGTCTCTCAGGATTGCAGCTGATGCACTTTATCCCTCTCAGAATGAAAGGTATCTTTACTCTCCTCCTCTTCGCCTTCCACCGGCTTGAGACCTGGCTGTGCTGGTGGTGTCGTTGTGCCTACCACTTTCACTGTTTCACCAATCCACAGCTCTTGCCATATTGAGTCTACATCCAGTGTAATGCTGCTATTCTTCAGCAGGGGTCCAAAAACAAGGGGGCCACCACCCCCTTTCAACAAAACATGGTACATTCCTTAGCCAAGTATTGTGCAAAGGCAGGCCTAGTGTAACAATGTCTGCTGCTGCAGAGCTTGTAGGAGGAAGCAATGGTCTCTGTGACAGGAATGTACCATCCTTTGTAGGGGGATGGTCCCTTACCTCTTGAACGCTTTGCTGTGGTCGCATTGAACAATGGTAATACATATTTTCACGTGAATTATTGTAAGACATCCTTCAAGCCATCTACAGGTAATCATAGTGCACATTGCTTCTCTTATGGTACGTTATGGAAATGTGTCTCTGCAACGATGATTTGGAAGAGCCAAAGAGACGGAACGCCATCTTAATTGCAGACACATTGTTCACCTTGCAAATAATGTATTGTATTTGCTCAAAAGTCATTGTAATTGATCTTCTTGGTTCTTTCGGTAAAGTCACGTAGAAGGGAAATAATAAACTAATAAAAATAAAACATAAAATAAAATTCTCATGACGTTTCGGCCACAACACAAGCAGCCGTCCTCAGGTGAAGAAACAGGACTGTCGGAAAGACACCTGAGGACGGCTGCTTGTGTTGTGGCTGAAACGTCGTGAGAATTGTATTTTATTATGTTTTATTTTTATTATTTCCTTTCTACGTGGTGACTTTACCGAAAGAACCAAGAAGGTGAATCCCTGCAGTCACGAAAGCTTTAAATCGAAATTCATTGTAATTTATTTCTCAAACATTTATCGTTGTTAATCTCCCATTTTACAGCCCTGAGCCGGTGGTGGAAATTGCTATGGTGGGGGTGGGTTTATCCATAGGACAACTACTGTTGACTTCCCAACAAAGTGGTACTTTACTCATTCTGGATGGTTGGTGGGCTGATTCAACCTGCTTCCAGGATTTGAACTGGCACCTCTCTGAATTGGAAGCCACTTGCAAAACCGCTGAGCCACATGTTCACTACACAGTACTACATTTCTCAAACATTAGCTTTTTTTGCAATGTGAACAACTTATAACTTGCAGGAGTGTATTCAATATGGGACCTTTCTTACTAGTATCAAAATATAAGAATAGGTTTTACCCTTTCTGGCAATAAAACAGGTGTTAAGATGTAAAAACACCAAACAGAAACATGCAAACAAAAAACATGGTCTGATAACAGTGTAACAAATTTTATTTTGTTCCTGGGTAGTAAGTGTTATTTCCTAATTGTTTATGCCTCAAAAGTGCAGAAAATGGCTATTATTCCCCACAAACTTTGCTTTTGTGACCAGGACAGTTATATTTTGAAATTTACCTATTTTCCAGAACATTCCAGATAGATTCAGTGCTGAGTAAACTTGGAGTAACTTCTAGAACATTCTAGAACTTTCCAGTAATATCAATAGTATATACACAGGGGCCTGAAACCCACCAGTTATTTTTTGTTCCAGCTGCCTAAGTGGATACATATCTGCATTTTTCTGAGATGGCATCAAGAGGCTGCAAGCATCCGGCAGACGCATTTTGCTATGTCTGCGGTCAATTTATCAAGACAGGCGAAAAAGTACTCTGTGGAAGCATCTGCTAAGATGTGTGAGGCTTGTCGGGGATCAAGACAAACCCTGGGCACCTCATTTCACCCGCGAGCAATGTTATTAAATTTGTTTTTAAAAAAATTATTGTAAAAGTTTTTAATTTTAAAATGTTTTACAATTTTCAATGTTATTAAAAAATATATAAATGAAAAATGTTGCAAGAATCTCTTACACATTAGTCATGGGTGAAATTAATGTATTTTTGTAGGATGAGAGCCATGAAGTTTGCTATCACAAGAATTTGGCGGGAACTGACTGACCACTCAAGCAACTGCTACTTCTGCATGATGGACCCCTCCAATTGTCGGACTGGCAAAAATGCACCTGCTATCACGTATCCGGACCTTCCTTCATCGCCCTGGTGCCACATTGCCATAAGCTCCCCATACCCACTCCTCCGGAGAGAGAGCATCCGTCTTTAGAAGAGAGCAGCAAGTCAGAGAGCGAGGAAGACGTAGATCCAGATGACAATTTCAGAGGTGGAGCTGAGGATAGAAACCCATACTACCCCAACCAAAAAGACCTCAACGACTTGATCAGAGATCTTGGTCTCACCAAGTCCAATGCCGAGCTTTTGACATTGAGGCTCAAGCAGTGGAATTTGGTGATTGATGAAAGTGTGCAAGTCGCAGATCAGAGAAGCGTCTCCAACCTTTTTGCAGCTTCTTCACCCACCAAGATGGCCTCTGCTTCTGCCACAATGTGACCAGTCTGTTTGAGACAATCGTAACCAGAATGAGTGGCGCCTCTTCATTGGCAGCTCATGCAGGATCTTCAAAGCCTTGCTGTTCCATAATGGTAACAAGTACCTGTCTCTTCGCCTGGTTCACTCCGTGCATCTCAAAGAGGATTATAACAGCATCAAGGCCTTGCTGGACGCCTTGAAGTATAATGAGTACGACTGGAAGGTCATCGAAGACTTCGAAATGGTGGCATTCCTGATGGGTCTCCAAGGCGGTTTTACCAAGTTTCCCTCCTATCTTTGCCTTTGGGCCAGCAAGGACACCAAGGCGCACTACCACAGGTGGGACTGGCCACCACGGACCGAGTTCTCTGTGGGAAGGAACAACGTCAAGTGGGAGCCACTGGTGGACCCCCGGAAGGTTCTGATGCTACCACTGCACATCCAATTGGGCCTCATGAAAACATTTGTCAGAGCTGTAGATAAGGAGTCAGCAGCCTTCAAGTACCTTCAATACTTCTTCCCTAAGCTGTCTGAGGCAAAAGTCAAAGCTGGTGTCTTCGTTAGGCCACAGATAAAGAAGATCCTGGAGTGCAATTCATTCCCCAAGAAGCTCACTAGTAAGGAGAAAGCGGCTTTGGACCAGCTTTGTCACAGTGGTTCTTGGCTTCCTGGGCAATCACAAGGTCGAAAACTACGTGGAGTTGGTTGAGACTCTGGTGAAGAACGATGGCGCAATGGGCTGTAGGATGTCCCTCAAAGTCCATATCCTTGATGCTCATCTTGATAAATTCAAGGAGAACATGGGAGCTACTCGGAGGAGCATGGCAAGCACTTCCACCAGGATATACTGGACTTTGAACGCCGCTACCAAGGACAGTATAACGAGAATATGATGGGAGACTACATTTGGGGGCTGATTCGTGAAAGTGATTTACAGTATAATCATAAATCTCGAAAAACTACTCAGTTCTATATCTTTTGTAGTAATTTTTGTATTACTTTAGTATAAATACATATTCATTTTGATTAATATGTTTTTTTAATGACTTTATGTGAACAAAAATACACAAATTCGTCTGTTTTCTCATTGAAAATAGGTAAATTTCAAAATATCACTGTCCTGGTCACAAGCAAAGTTTGTGGGAATAATAGCCATTTTCTATACTTTTTAGGCATAAGCAATTACGAAATTACACTTACTACCCAGGAACAAAAATTGTGTTACATAGTGTGATATATGCATTGTCTTTGAAACTGATTGGTCTACACCAGAGACAGCTTTTATTAGAGCCTCGTCTCAAAGTGTTAGAACAGAGGACACCAAAAAGCAAACGGCACAAAGACAATGCCACTATCAGGGCACTTATAGCTCAGGATTCCTTGAAAAAGGTTTCTGTTTGGTGTTTTAACATCTCAACACCTGATTTATTGCCAGAAAGGGTAAAACCTATTCTTCTAGGAGTGTATTCGTTGGTAACAATTACTTTTTACCTATAGTAGAACATATATGGCTCTCCGGTGTATCTTGGGTTGTGCCGCATGCTGTTCGGCACGATGATGTCCAACGTTTTGCTCCATGTGCCGGGAGCTTCTTCGGCTCCCCTAGGTCATGCAGTGAAACTTTGGACATCGTGAAAAACAAACACAGTGCGGTACAACCTGAAACACATCACAGAGCTATACAGCACAACCTTGAAGACCTATGCAGTTGAATTTGTCTTTTAGTATTTGGAGCAGATTTGTATCAAGTGGCTGAGCAGATTACATGCACATTTACATGTCATGGGCATATTTTTTTCAGCTCACCAAACCACCTCATTTGACGAAAAATTACAAATCTTTCGTATGACATGGGTATCAGTTGTCATATGAATCCGTAACTGACTATTTCATGACTCTTGCCCTTTATTACATGGTGACATTTAGACTGGCATCCAGTGCGACGTATCCATGGCAAACAGAGAGGTAAGTTTATCCCACGTGTCCGTTTCTACTTCTTGTCTCACTTTTGGCAAATCCAAAAACGAGCACCAAACCTGGATAATTGACTGCTAACGATGATTTAGCCTCAATTTTCAATCCACTGTGGGATGAAGACCTTGCCTCATTGCGTCAATTCCCCTGTACTGTGGATATTTGCTGCAGCGTGTTGTAACGTATGATGAAAGATGTAGTTTGTTATTTTCTAATTATTTACTTTTACGTGAAATAGCTCCATATGCACAGTGGCTGCTTGAACATCTTGCATGTCATGATGGCAGGCTCCGATAATAATGGTAGTTTGTTCCTTGCAGTTCGGAAATGTCTTTGTTGCTCAAAGTTCGCTGTGGACCCTACCTTTTTACAACGGTAATGAAGACTTGGACTGGGTGTATAGCTCTTTGTGCTGGGTGAATTGCTGTTATGCTTTATTTCCAGTGTGATGAGGTTGAGCTGGGCTGGGTGAGTCAGCTGGAATGGCTCTTGAGTTCGTTTTAAACACATTGCTGAGCTCAGGCCCAAAGGCTCAACGTTTCAGGCAGGGCAGTCAGCAACAAAGAGCACTATCACAATAAAAATAGAGTTAAGACTTTTATTGATTTGAGCAAGCTTATAACACCTTATGGAAGGAGATGAAGGGAAGGAATTCAAAAGTAGTGCAATTCAAGGGAAGAAGCATAAAGATAAGTGTTGTGACCTGCGGTATTGTGATTAAACATCGTATAGATGAGGTGAAACAGTCACATGGTGGCTTGTACTTACTTTCCTCATCTGTGTCCCCAGTGTGGTGATTCCGGGTAATGCACCTGGCGTCGCCAAGCAGTTTCTGCGCTGCGTTTTCCACCAGCTCGCTCCGAATGGCATCCTGCCACAGCTCTTCCAAAGCAACATCAAAGGTGCTGTGTCTGTGTGATGGCTGTGTCTGTGTGATGGCTGCTCACTTCCCATGTTAAGTGGATTTTATAGGGAAGTGCTGCACAAGGCTGCTGTAAATGCGGTGCAACTCGTCGTGATTCGTTGGCTTTTACAGCCACAACATCCACTATAAAAAGACATAATAATCATTTTGTGTTGTGCAGAATATGAATAAAATAATTTAGCAGATATTTTTTTCTTCATATATATCTACACAAAAAAGTATAAAGTTTATGTTACACTACCCATCAACCCCAAGGCCTTCTGGGAGTGTACAGGAAGTGTGAACTCCTGCTATGTAAATAATGGTTTTCGTTAAATGCAACCTTTTCTAAATAAGCACACGGATACATATTCACGTTGAAAAAAAAGATAAAGGTGCTGCCCTGCAATTGCTTGCTCATGCTAGGTGGAAGGGGCTCTACGAGATCAACACTATATTCTTAGTTTTTTCGGTAAAGTCACGTTGAAGAGAAACAACAAAATAACAAAATATATATAAAACAATAAAAAATTCTCACGACGTTTCGACCATAACTCAAACGGTCATCATCAGGTGTGTCGGTTTGCACACACCTGATGATGACCGTTTGAGTTATGGTCGAAACGTCGTGAGAATTTTTTATTGTTTTATATATATTTTGTTATTTTGTTGTTTCTCTTCAACGTGACTTTACCGAAAAAACTAAGAATATGAATTACTGCAGTCACGAAAGCTTTAAATCAAAAGAGATCAACACTGTCAAGTTTATTTGGTCCATTTTTCTACTTTGATCCATATCTGTAAATGACAATAAAAAACAAGATGAATATTAAAAACGTTCACTGATTCTGCATGATGCTCAATGCTACGAGCTCTTTGTACACAGAGTGCATGTGTCTGAAACTCTTCCACACTGACCAGACGTGTTGAAAGAGGTGTGTATTCCTACACTTTACCCTCACAACACGCGACCTGCCGGTGGACGAACTCTGTGGTGTAGCCGTCTATACTACGGGGTGGACAGAGGCGGGGGCATGTTATAAATTTGCACTGTCGTTTCAACTGCTGCGCTGGAATGTGTATTCATACCGGTCCGAATTGCAAATCCAGTGTACCATCATACCACAGCAGCTCCCCATAATTCTGCATCATAATCTATAATGTTTTATATGTTCAATACTTAAATTCGTTTGTTTACTTGTTTTTTTTTTAGATACAAACTTCCTAAGAACGCTCTCGTCAGCCCTGTCTGACTTTTCAGAACTCAGCTCGCTTGCTGCCCTGAACATTCTCCTCGAGGTAAGTGGATTTAATCAGTGCCGTGCGACATGAACTCGCAAAACTCTCCCGTCAGCGTGCCTTGTTTCTGAAGAGGTACATGCCTGACACTGTGACGCCCCACCGAGTTTCTTCCTCCAGGGCCTCAATGGCAAGAAAAACCTGCCGATGGGCGGAGCAATGCTCAGATGCCTCGACAACTTGGCCACGTTCATGGAGGCATTGCCCATGGAGTCACCCAGCAACCTGTGGGCTGGCATCTGTAACCACTTCCAAACCTTTTTGCCCAAGTTATCCTCAGTCCTGCCTGTCAAGGTAGACTAAGGACTCACACTGAGGGAGAGCAGTGGCTGCAGAAAATCCAGTGTCAATCATTACATTTTTTTAAAAATCAAGAGTCACATTTTAAATGCATACATATATAAATTGTGTTTTTGTACTTGTTAACCCTTTCATAGCCTTGCATTTTTTAATTATATAAGTTTGGTCAGTATAAAATGTAGTACATGGAATAACCCTGGGTTATTCCATGTACTACATTTTTTTTCCACAATAGGGCAGCTGACACATCACATGTAATAATGTCCCACCCAGCTATAGTTGGGTGTCATCACCGGGTCCTGAGAATAGGCTGGAACCAATGTTGCAGCATGAAGTTTGTGCACATATTGAACCGTTTTGGTGCTGATGCAAAGTAACGAGATTGTATGTGGTATGTGCCAGTGCTGCCTGGACTCTTGCCTGCGGATCATGATCAGTCTCCTTAAGATCCCTGCAACCGTCGCCACACGGGTAAGTAGTCCACTACCTCCAGGGAATTATTTTGCAGTAAAAAAATCAAGGAAAAGTAAATCTCTAGATGAAATATCAATGCACAGTATTAGGTTAACTGTCTTGTTTAAATTTTCTACACAGCGGGAGGTGTTGTCATTTCTTAACTTTCCGTTTTTTCTTGTTGAATCTTAGAGTCTGCTTGAACAGTTTTCTAAGCTGCTCAGTTTTGTGATCCAAAACTCCAACTTTAATCTGGCTTATGTCATGGAACTCTGCGCCCTTTGCTACAAGGGATTTACAAAGGTAATGACACGAGAAAGTTATACATTAATTGATTAATGTATTTATCAGCACATTGGAATTTCTGAATAAACTAATTATTTTATAAAGCCAAGCAGTCTCGGAAAAAGTGCCATACATTTTCTCAGGCAGGATCTTACTTTCTCTCCCCCAGGAGAGAGACAAGCTCTATCTGACTCGGAGTGTCGTTCTTGAGCTGTTACAAGCACTGAAGTTCAAGTCCACCTTGCAGGACACAAACATTCTCTACCTTGTTCAGGTGTGGGTTATTGGCTCTGATGACAGTTTTACAATGCCGCTATCAATTGGTGTTGTAACCTCGATAATAGTATTAAACTTGTATATCTAGGAAAGCCTTACTGAATCTCAAGACACCTTTTCAGTTTTATCTTGTCGAATCTGGAAGATAACATCCCTAGATAGCATTACCCTCAATTGCAAAGTTTTCACAGATGGGGGCGATGTTGCTATGTAGATTGCCAAATGAGAAAATTTTCAGGTAATTTGTCAGCATTGGAAGGTTTGGCCATTATCAGTTACATTGCTATGGGATGGAACCAGATAAGTCAGAGGGGGAGAACATACACATTCCACACACTCGTACACTCTCACTCAATCTCAAACACTCTGCAAAACGGCGAGAACATACAAACTCTACATAGAATGGCACCCAGGTCCTTTTTGCTGAGGCACAAGTATTAACACTGTGCTACCCTGCCACCCACACACACGTCATTTCGACCCGCTTGGTGTGTCTTGTATGTTGTTTCCCAGTTCATTTGCTCGGATGTAGGCACGAGGTTGGCAAGCTCCTTGATCCTCCAGAAAAATATCATCAACAACTTACCAACAGTGAGTCCTCGCGCGGTTCTGCCACAGTGAGTGAGCACATCCGTGTCAGCTGATTTTGTCTCTGACAAGATACCGACTCTCTTGTTCTGTTATAGTGCCAGACGGCTGCCATGGAGTGCGTCAGGCAGTACCTGATGGACATTCTGGACTTCATCGCCGATCTGCATACACTAACCAAGCTCAGGGTATGTCTTTTACAGGAAGCATTCATTATTAATATAAATTTTCATTGTGTTTGACTAATGTTAACACAACTTTATATACATGTATAACTTTTTAATGGAACAGTCAGGTATGGTTATATGTGCACTTTAGACGCAAGGGTTTTTTTAAAACTCGGCTGTGACATGCCCAGGAGTTGACACTATGGCTATCGTGTATCTGTACAGGAATCAAACTTATGTCGCCGGGTTTATAGCACAGTGCACTACCCCGCCCCCACCCTGTGCACCATTCTACAACCATTTTTATTCTCGACGCTCGCCAATAATATTATTGGGCCACTCACATTTTTGCACCACTCTGCGGGAAAGTCAACAGTGGTTATCCTATGGACAGACTTCTGCAATAGGGATGTGGAATTTCACGACCGGATTGTAACAGGAGTTGCACATTACCGCAATGCTCATTTAGGCAGGAAATAATTTTAATTTTAGACTGCTAACTTACGTCTGTGAATCTGACTGTGTTTCCACCACAGACGCACATGAAGGCATGCGCCCAGAGCTTGCATGAGGACACATTTGGCGGCCAGCTCAAGGTGGGGCTGTCGCAGGTGGTGGCGATGGAGATAACTCGGGGAAATCACCGTGATAACAAGGCGGTTATGCGCTGCCTGCCCTGGCTCTTCCACCCACCCTCCACCATGCAGCAAGGGTCAGCTTTGCACGCGAGCACAAACTGGACTTGATAGGGTCAAGCAAACACAAAGACAACAATTCCCCTTTATAGCCTTGATAGACTCGTGGGTAAAGTGCTGCTAACGTGCACCTGTGAAGAACTTGCACGGCGCACGAGGGGGTAGGTGGCCAGCACTTTGCCCAGCCGCCTTTGTATCCATAGTTACGATGTTTACACATCGCACTAGGTTCTCACTTGAGGCTGAATCTCTAAGGAGACCTAGGACTGTCACTGGTGTTGACCGTGAGCTGGAATCGAACTCGGGTCGCCTGGTTCGCGGTGTTTTACGTTAACTGTTCCGCAGATGTAAAGCAGTCACACATAGACATGCATGTGTGCATGTGCACTTATAGCTGTTGCTCAAAAAAACAATTTCATAAACTCCATCTGCGATTATATACTTTCATCGGTCAATTATTTTCAGTTAAAATGGTTAACATTACATTTTGTCAAATAGATTATTTTCTGTGACCAGCGCCCTGTGAGGAGTCAGTCTATCCTTGTGACTCAAAGAATTTTTGAAAATCAGAATTTTTCTCCAGCTTAAAATATTCTGGCTTCGTACTAGGCTCACAGTACAGACTGCCTTTGGGCAGTGGGGGCAGCAAAGGGCAGGAAGGGTATCGCTACCTGAATAGTATTGAGGAGTTGATATGGGAATAGGGTGGCCTATCAGTAGTAGACAGGGTCAATGTAAGAGAGAGCAAGGAGGCCACTCACTAGAGGAGGCTAGCGGGTGAGTTGCCATTGCTATGTAATTGTTGGCTTGGGCTGCCCGGGATTTACAGCAGCGCTGGCCTTTCTATTCTTCTTTTTGTTGTTCACTGCAGACCCAAGGAGTTCATAGAGTGTGTGTCACACATTCGCCTGCTGTCGTGGCTGCTGCTTGGCTCGCTGAACCACCTGAGCGTGAGCTCCCCGATGGCTCCGGCCTGTACCCCCATCCCGCTCGACGCTGGGCCCCACGTGGCCGATCACCTCCTCGTCATTATCATGGGCTTCTCGGAGCACTCCAAGGTGAGGCTTATTCTCACAAAGTCGATGGCTTTCCCTCCCCTTCCTCCGTCCGCCTTCTTGCTGCCTTGCTGCAGGCTCCAGAAAGACAGCGTGTGACCAATGTGCCCGTGTTCCCAGGCCTCGGTGGTCCACATGTCGTCGCTGTTCCACGCGTTCGTGTTCGCTCAACTGTGGACAGTGTACTGCGAGCAGCTCGGTGGACCCGGCGGTGGGACGCCCACGCTCAACGAGGCCGGCTCGGCTGCGGCGCTCACTGCCATGGAGTTCTGGAGCCGCGTCACTCCCGGCATCCTGCAACTCATGGCGCACAACCGCACCGTACGGGTGCATGGTGCCGCTGCATATTAACCCCGCCTTCTTGGCGCTTTCCAGTGATGGCGGAAAAGTGTTCGTACGTTATCTCTGCGATGAGCCTTTTTGCTTGATCATTGGAGACCAAGATTAAACCAAAAAAACAGGATGCTTGAAAACCTAGTTTAATCGCAGGCAGTTGCCTTGATTCTAACCCAGGATCTCAGCACTGCAAGCTCAGCACTCTGAGCCACCCAGCCACCTCCCCGCTTTCCTCCTTTGGGTGCATACGCTCGACTGACAGATTTTTCACTCGCGATCACGGCTGAATGTGCCAAATAGCAAATGGGATTACGGCCAAAAATGTGAGGAATAGAAAAGACAGTGGAGAGAACAATTGAGAATTGAATGGAGAAAATTTAGCTGTGATGTAACGTGACCCAAAGGAAGGGTCACATTGGAGATAATGACCAGTTTGGAGACTGGTAAATATTAATGGGGTTTCACGTACCAGTAGTAACAGCCACGGAAGCTGCACAGGACCATAAATACGGTGTGTAACGGAATTTGTCTTCCATAAGATGTGTTACATTCTCACGTTGTGTGCTCGACGGTGATGACTGTGTCTGTTCCAGCTGGTGGAGATGGTGAGCCTGCACGTCATCAGCCTCATGGAGGCCTTGCAGGGCTGCAACTCCAGCATTCTCGTCAAGGTACTCGCCCCTTAACTAGACTCGAAGTGGGCCAGGATCTCGAGTGCTATGCATTCCAATTTATTATTTATTTGTATGTATGATTAATTGTTTATTTGTTAATTATATTCCAATTGTGCTCATTGGTGTTATGTCACAATATGAGGACATTCCCTATCTGAACAATCACAGAGAGCAGTACGACTGGATGTGTTAGAGAGTGGCCTCTTTTGCCAGATAATTGAAGATGAGATATAAGTTGGGCTGAGATGATTACTCAACTCCAGGCCTGGATTTCCAGGCCAATGCCTCATTGCTCACTGGCCCAGTCAAACTCTACCAGTAACAGGCAGTTGTTGTTAAGCATACTTGCTCACAAATGGATTACGTGACATGTCATTCATTTATTTTTTGGCAGCATTTAATATAAGACAAATGAACGCGAAACTTTTATTACTTCACCTTTTCTCTCCCGTCATTTCCACATGCAGCTTCTGCCCATGTGGTTACCGATGATCAACTCCAACTCTAAGGTAAAGAATTGTGTGTGCTAACTAGATCACACAGAAATTATTGTGAGAAAGTAACCTTTGTGCCAGGTGTGCCTCTGGCTGGGACAAGATGGGTTATGGTTAGGTTATTCGGGGGTTTCCAGCCTTCATCAAGCAGGATGTATTGGTGGCCACCATTTTAAAGGGGCCCGTGTAATCGAACATATAAAGTAGTCTAATATCATTGAATATAACCCTCAAGTTAAAAAAATCAAATTTATGCTTTTTGACACGAAAAAGGAACTATCTATTAATAATAATGCAATTTGTAACGCACACAATATGTCACAGACATACATCACCTTAAATCCGAGGCACCGAGCCGAGCTTTGTGCCAATCGAAACCCAGGCGAGAGAGTTGGGGCCTTGAAGTGTCTCTTGAAAGTTGGAGGAGAGTGAGCGCTGCTGCTGCTGCAAATGTGAAGTGTGATGGCGTTGGCAGATGGCAGGGGCTGCTACTGAGAAACAGCTCCGATGTAAACGAATGCAATGTGGTTTTACAAACAACATTTTGTAATGAGATATATATATATTTTATCAACCGTATTTTTGCATTAGGTATGGTCAAGATGTGTTGAAGTTTTATACACATCTGATGTTAGGCTGCACTCATCGTAGAATGCATGACATTAGCTCATTTGCCGGTATGATTGAGCTGCGGTCACATTTAGATATTCTCTATAAATCCAAATCACTTCGTAAATTGTATTGTAAATGAACGTTTACCGGCAGGGTGACGCAGTGGCAACACTTGTGTTTCACATAAAGAAGGGGCCTGGGTTTGAATCCTGACTCGAGCACCTTTCTGCGTGGAGTTTGTTTGTTCTCCCTCTGCTTTACTGGGGTTTTCTCCATGTTCCCCAGTAACTGACATTTTGCCAAACATCCTAATGCTGAAAAATTACCTGCAAATTACTAAATGAGTATTAGACACGGCAATGTCACCGCAACAGATTGGCAGGACCCTACTGAAGGCTATTCTGCGTAAACAAGAGTATCGTCGATAATCATAACCGCGACTCGTCCTGTTTGCGCTGCAGCACCTGTCGGGAGGCCTTCGGCTGAGGCTGCAAGCCGTCCAGAGCCGTGTGCGTTCTCCGGGCGTGGGGCTGGCCGGCCCGTCGCCCTGCCAGCCGGCCTCCGCGCCCTTCTCCAACGCATTTGGTTGCATGTCGGCCGAACGCGGGCCTCCCCACCTCCAGCAGTGGCTCCGATGCACGCAGTTCAAGATGGCGCAGGTGGAAATGCAGTCGTCTGAGGCGGCGTCGCAGTTCTACCCACTGTGATGTGCCAGTTCGGCAAGGGCAGCGGTAGCGGCCCGCTGCAATTGAACGCTTTCCTGCACCCTGCCACCAACGTTCTGCCAGTCGGGCATGCTGTGTAGGGTGATTGTAATATTTTTTTTTTATTTGTCTGCCATTTCTGAATTTTGATTAAGTTTTTTTTTTTCGTCAAATTTCATCCTGATCATGCTTTCGGGGTAATGAGATTCATCATCATGAGATGAAGAATCCATTTGCATCTCTGAAAAGCGTAAAATGTTATTCTAGAGAATGACCCACGGAAGCAGATATTACAGATATTACGGAACTGCTTCTAAGATCTGCTTCTAAAGTTTACCCCCAAAATACTCAATTGGCATTAGACAGAACAACAACGCCTCGTACTGCAAAATGTCTGCGGACTGTGAAAGATAACACCTTCGCGATAGCCGTGCGCTATAATCATGGCACAAATATCAAATGTCCAAATTATTTTATTTGACGATTTGATTATTAAAAACACTATCAGGTGTTCGCAATGTTGGTACCTTTCTAATTACTGTCTCCGCACGCTTATTGTACCACTGCGGACTGAACTGCTGTGTTAATAATAAGCGCTTGCACAGATAACTATTGTGTGCCAGGGAGCTGCTTGTGGTGCAAGACTTACGTACAACTGGATCTTTGTGGAGAGGTCTGCAGATGTTTTTGGCTCCTAGGGGTTTACAATGTTTGTAGTGGGGTAGCTATCGAGTGTGCAGGTGGTGCAAGTGCACTGGGGCCCGTGGGCTGGATGGGGCTCTGGTACTGGGCCACGTTAAGGAAGGCAGGCAGCCCCCCCCCCCGTTTCATTCCTTGCACCAGGGTCAAAGCCAAGCACTCCACACTACTGACTGTGAGTACCATGCAGTGCTTTTTTCAAGGATGCAATTAGTGTCTGTATTCAACTATGCCTCTACAATGTAGAAAAGGTACGTGGAAAGTAAAATGTTGTTAATCTCTTAATGTGTCTGCATTGATTTTAAACCTCCTGGTAGCCGATCGTGCTATTGGCAATGTCTGGAGCATGCCATTGTGAGTACTCTTATGTGATTTGATGGCTATCAATGTGTTCTTATTGGTGGAAGTTTTTATTTTAGAATTAAGAACATCACACGTGCCGTAATGTTTATACATCGTTTAAGCCGATGTCACCATTCAGATGCTTTGTTTCTTCTAAAGAAATACCAAATATATATTGATGTTTAAATGGCAATTGTCGTTAATCTACATTCCTCTGTTTGACATTAAAGTAAGCTGAACGTGTGCGTTTTACTTTTCTGCGTGTATCATTTGTCATAGTTTTGGGCAATGTACAAGCTGTCTGTGAAGGTAGAATCCATTCTTAAAGAATCATAAATGGCAGTTGAAAGAGTTAGGATGGAGTCTTTTTTTCATTTACAGATTTGAATTTTTGCATTTTAGGTAAGTGTTAATGGGGTCCCCAAAGTGTTAAGTTCTCTGACTGTACTGTACTGATGAGTCATAACGAGGATGAAACCAGCTAGGGTTATTTCTTTGTGTCACTGCCTATGGTGGAGGTGACCACAAATTTTCAACTCTTTGAGTTCGTAGTTCAAACGACAAAGTGGCCACACATTCAGTTTTGTTCAGTAAGTGGTCTGATAAGGCTGAGAGCTCTTCTACATGCACTGCACACCTTTATTGTAAAATCTGTTGGTTGCATTGAGCGGCTGAAATGTTGAAAATGTATTCATAGTAGACTTACAGTCTTTAAACGGAAAGGCTTGAGTGATCTTCAACTGCACATAACTGAAGCTCTTGAAACCATCGCGTCTGAGATGCTAGCGAACACCTGGGATTGATTATAATCTCTCACGTCTCGATACAACGCGCGTCGCCAACGCCACGGCGGGTACGTGGTGCTTTCGTAGAAATGAGACTTGCACACAAAAAAATATCTGTCCTACCAAGCGTGCGTGTAGTTGTATCTGTCCACCGTGCTCAAGCTGCTGTCTCGTTTTATATTTGTATGGAGATTCTGTACTTTTGAGGCCACTTGCCTTGCTGGGATCGTGTTGTGCTGTGACAATTCTACAATGGCAACTTGTAGTGTGTGTCCATTGGCATGATATGCATAAGTCATGGAATTAATTCCTTGTGGCTTTTAGAGTGTTATACTGTAGGCATCCGTAAAGGATCCGTAAGGGATCCGTAAAGGATGCCTACATGGATGCCTAAAGGATGCCTACATCATCAGAGGGAGCTCTGGAAAAGTTGTCTTAATGGATTTTTTGGCCTATTATTCCATGCTAAATGGTGTTTATCTCCAACAACTAAGAAAACTGGACAAGCATTGTAGCATTGAATGCTGTTTTCAAGTCCACATTTTTACAGATTTTTGTTTGTCTGCGCTCATCCACAACATTTGCTGGCCATTGCAAATGCGACAGTATTCATGGTGCTGTAAGTCATATCAATAAATCCTGAAAATCATTGCTTTGTTGCTTGTGCTGTTTGCTAAATTTGACAACACTTCGAGTGCATTCTTTATTGCACAGGTGCACACCTTGTTCACTTATACACCTAGTCTACCACCTGGATGAGAGGACAGACACAACGTAAAGATATAAACATACCGATTGAATGTGCTGTAATTTTCATAATGTCCCTCTGTTGCTGATGGACGAATGCCTCCATAGGCATTGGCACTTGGCGTGAAAACATCAAGTTCATAACTGTACCTGAAAATGTTTGACGGAATGTTATTGATGGGTGGAAGAGAAAGCTATGTTCTCTTTGGTTGTGAAGAGAAACTCATTTTTCATTGCAAAGATTCCCGCTCAGGGCAATGTGCCTGACAGAAGACAATTCACACATCCGTCATGTCATCAGCAGCTGCAGGATGCCACAGCGGTGAATGTGAGTAGATGAAGATAATGCATTTGCAGTTGCTCAAGCCTGGTGAGTCATAACAATAATACATTACAGCCGCTTGTCAGTGCACTACTGGATGGCAGCCTCACCACAGTGTCGGCCATTGTTTTACCATACTTCACCATGCTGCTCAGTCCGAATTCGTGAAGAGGCCCCAGGACCGGTTTAGATATCTCTACCCACTAATGTTAGCCATTGCGGGGAATATAATTCGTGTTTGTTCGTAGCGCAATGTGCTCCACACTGTGTCACCAAACTCTGAATGCATAATGCTTGCTAAATTTTACAATTCTGAGTTGGGTCTTTTATCTTGAGTTGAAAAAGGTTAAAGGGTATCTTCAGATTATTCAGTGTCTCCCGTTTTTTGCTTCCTTTGGAGGCTGAGCATTGGTCCACTAAGTGGCGCTGCTGGAAGGGGTTCTCTGAGCCTACAATGAATGCCCTGCCCTGCTTCTCATCACATTACCAATCATTTGCCAAATCACGCTCAGAAGTCTCCTGTCACAACACTGGCGGTAAACCCATGCTCTTATATGTCCTGTTTCAATCGTCATTGAAACAGGACAGTATATAATTGTTCACTTTTAAAAATGATGCAACTAAGATTTTAGTTGCTTAATGTTAATTAGCACATGTATGAGCTACGTGTAGATAGTGTATATGTTTTTTTTAGCAAAAATGCTGCCAAACATAAATCGAGTTCATAAAAGACATGAAGATCGTGTTGGAGTTGAGGTTGCCTTGCATAATTTCCTCCTCTTCCCCTCTCACTCCTGACCTTGCCCCTCACATTTCCAGCTGCCTGATCACCATCCAATCTTGGATGTCCCAACACTCAGTATAAATAACTTCCAAAACCGAAAATATGTTCTTCCCTGCTTCTCATTCCCCTTCTCCCTGCCTTACTATCTCCTTCCTCCCTTTATCTCTTACCCCTGGCTCGTCTGCCCGTAATCTTGGCGTCATCCTCGACTCCTCTCTCTATCCGACCACATATCTGCCACTACCCGTTCTTCCCGCTTGCACCTCCACAACATTCACAAAATCAACCCCCTCTCAACTACGACCGCACAACTTCTAATTCACTCCCTCATCTTCACTGAATCGATTACTGTAACTCCATCATGCTCTATCTTCCAGCATATGCATTTAAACCGCAACAACAAATACAAAATATCGTTGCCCGGATATCTTCAATCTCCCCTACCACTCCCACACATCACCTCTCGTCGTCCAGCTACACTGGCCACCCGTCTATTGTTGCCTTTTCACATTCCTCACCCTAGTTTTCTAATCTCTCCATGGTCTCACCCCAAGTTATCTCGATTCCCTAATTTCATTCTACGCTCCTCGCCCTCTGCATTCACAATCCCTGCTGGCTCTGTTCTCCCTCCTCATGATGCCCCTACACGTCAAACAATCAGCCTCACTGTTTCATTCTTCCCTCGAAACTCACTTATTTTCCTTTGCATACCCCAACTCCCCCTCCTCCCTTCCCCATCATTAACACCAACATCTCTCTTCATACTAACTTCCCGACCCATTCATCATACTCGCTCATCATCAACCGCTCATTGTCACTCTCATCGTTTATTTCACGTATCAAAATATTCATGTACTGCGATCGTTCTCATCAAATCGTCTCATCACATTGTTCTGCTTTACAAATTGCTAATTTTCTATTCAGCGCCTTGGTGAAGGCACTATATAAATTAAAATAATATGAGATACGAAATAAAATCCTTCCTCTTCCCTGCGATGTTATATTTTACACTTATGTCGAATTGCATTGTTTATGCTTTACAAATCCAAGTTGCATTCATCGTTATCAGGCGCTATATTAAAAATATCACAAATACAATCCTTATTCTTCCCCACGATCTTATATTTTGCACAACTTCTGTCGTGTTGCATTTTCATTCTATATAAATCTTAAGTTGTATTCATCATTATCAGCCATGATCAATCTGCTGCTAGATGAAGGCCGTCCCAAGCCATTGCCACCCTCAAGAGTCTAGCGATTCAAAAATCCACCAGTTGTCACCCATCGTCCATCCCATCCCCTCTCGTAGCAAAGTGACCTGCCAAGGCCCACGTACAGCGCATTAATCAGGGAAACGCAAAGTTAAAGAAAATTGGCAGCACAATGACAACTTCGCGACGCAAGGGTCAAGGTGCTGGTGCCCCCAAGAGCTTTGGTTCAAGGCCCGTTTTGGGCAGCATCACAGTCGAGACTGCCGAGGTGTGCAAGGACTGCCCTAGTGGCACGTGGCGTGGAGGAGACCGCTTTCTTAGTCGGTAACATCGCACTGCTGGGAAGAGCCCTCCTCCAGTGTCATCCACACTTTATTAACTCTTGACCGGTACATTCAGCACGCTTCTTAAAATCTTCCTACCTCACTTTCTGTCTGTCTTCCTCCATTCACTCAATAAGACGCCATAGTTAAATCTTGCCCATCTTTCAATCAGGTTTCCTAGATGGATGTCCTACCCAACTCCAATTAAATTTAACTTCTGTTTTCCAAGTTCTCATTCTGAAAAATATTCATTCCTAAGATTGTCACTACTCGTTATTTTAGATATCCTCCATTGCATCGCTTTATTTCATACTTGTAACTTTCTGAATTGATCTTTATATAGCCTTGTGCCCTGTAGGCGATTACTGGTAAAACACAAGAATCCGTGATGAGAACCACACACAATACCTGGGGCATATGGTGGAGCCCTAAGTGAATCGCGAGTGACACAGTGCCGGATGAAGCTAGTGCGGGGCCTGTAGTATATGTTATAAAGGGGGCCGAAATATAAAAAAAACACAAATATTAAAACTATTTTTTTACATGCATAGTAAAGTAATCGTAATTTTTCATTTGCTATACAGCCAGATAATACGACAAATCGCTAATCTTAAACACCCAGTCGTTCATAAAAGTTGAAAGCAAATATAGTGCTATAGTAATAGAGCAAGTGCAGAATCACTGAACCGGAATTGATAGCTTGAAAGCATTTAGCGCGGGGCCCTTGAAAATGCAGGGCCCGTAGCATGTGTAGCTACTTTTGCTACTAGGATAATCCGGCACTGGGGGTACGTGTGGGTTTTGGTACCCGCGCGGATGAGCGGCACATGTAGCGAGTAATTGAGTAAGAAACTATTTAAACTATAGCTACTATTTATTTACCAGGTAACGCCCACTGAGATATAAAGCTCTTTTTCTGAAGCGACCTCTACAAAAATAACTCAACGAAGTGGCTTATCATGTATACATATATAATAGCCACATACTCTAAACGCATGTTGATTCTAAATGTGGAGGGGAAAATCGGAAGGCCCAGATAAAAATCCACGCGACTATGGGGAGAGAGACATGCAAACTCCAAATATACAAGCGTCAGGGCTGGGATCGAACCCGCGACCTCCTGTATACCAGGCGAGGGAATTAACATCTCGCCACCGCGACGAGAGCGATGCAGAGGCTCAGGGGGAGACTCAGGTCAGCCAGGGTCTGTTGCCACAACCAGGTGACACTGGGCTCTCAAGGTAGGCGGCGTGGGCGACGAGGAGCAGCGACTAGGGGTTGGATAGCAAGCTTGACTGGAGAGCACGGGTAGTGGAGTCGAGTGAGTTGATAGGTAGGAGAGGGGACAAGGAGGGGACGAGGAGGGGAGTGGAGTAAGGTGAGAGGGATGAGGGAGCAGGAGCGAGATGAGAGGGGAGAGGTGGGACAGTAGTCTCAATGTTTTCTTGCTACTGAATTCAGTTACGTTTTGCATTTTAGACACCACTGTTTTGCTTAGTCGTATTTTACTGTAACAAACCCCCGTTGGGGTGGAAGATTAAAGCCCACGTAGTGGGGGTGGAAATGAATTAAATGAAGCGTCTATAATAGAGTTTTTTTGGGGTTATATTATTTACGTGATCTAACCCTAAACACCTCTCCAGGATGATATTGGACGCGAAAACCTACGTTTCAAACTCAATGAAGTGTACGTGTTAGACTCCCCGAAAAGACAACCAGGGCATATGGAGCCTAGCGACCCTGCATCTGGAGCCGAGAGACCCTGCACCTGGAGTCTGGACACTCTGCACCTGGAGTCTAGAGACCCTGCACCTGGAGTCTAGAGACCCTGCACCTGGAGCCTAGAGACCCTGCACCTGAAGTCTGGACACTCTGCACCTGGAGTCTAGAGACCCTGCACCTGGAGTCTAGAGACCCTGCACCTGGAGTCTAGAGACCCTGCACCTGGAGTCTGGACACTCTGCACCTGGAGCCGAGAGACCTTGCACCTGGAGTCTAGAGACCCTGCACCTGGAGTCTAGAGACCCTGCACCTAGAGTCTAGAGAACATGCACCTGGAGTCTAGAGACCCTGCACCTGGAGTCTAGAGACCCTGCACCTGGAGTCTAGAGAACATGCACCTGGAGTCTAGAGACCCTGCACCTGGAGTCTGGACACTCTGCACCTGGAGGCTGGACACTCTGCACCTGGAGTCTAGAGACCCTGCACCTGGAGCCTAGAGACCTGCACCTGGAGTCTGGACACTCTGCATCTGGAGTCTAG